ACCTGAAGGAAGGTGGCGAGGTACCTTATTCCGGGCACAAGTGTCACAGGAGGTAACAAAAGCTTTGATGTAGTCGTCCATGTGAGGCCACCAAAAGTCCCGTGCAACTAGCTCATAGGGTTTTGCAATGCCAAAGTGACCAGCAATCGGGCTATCGTGGCACGCCATCAGGACCAACCTTCGAGCATCACCTTCAGGAACATAAAGCTGCTCCCCACGGTACAATAAACCATCTAAGAACTCGAACTCGTCAAATCACCGACAGTCGGGAGTCACTGGGTGTCCAGCCTAAAGATGGGGGAAAATGTCGCTAGCGAGATCATCGGATTGAAGATTGTTTCTGATTGCATCCATCAAGGAGGAGTCCTGAGGGGCCAGGGAAATTGCCATAACTTGAAGCCGATCAGGACCGAGGATAACTTGATCCTGTTGATCGAAGGCAGGATTACCAGGCCTGAGACTGAGATAGGAGCGCCTTGAAAGAGCATCAGAAAGGCCTTGAAACTTTCCAGGTCTGTACTTGATAACAAAGTCAAACCGACTTAGGAATTGTGCCCACCTTGCTTGACGACGGCTTAAAACTCGGGAAGTGGCAAAGTACTCGAGATTTTTGTGATCCGTCCAGACTGTTGTTTGATGGCTCGCCCCCTCCAAGAAACGGCGCCACTCTCCAAACGAATCCACGATGGCAAGGAGCTCCTTGTCATGGATTTCGTAATTGATCTCCGCAGGCTGGAATTTCCGAGAATGGAAAGCGACCGGATGAAGTTCGTGATCCGCTCCGAGTTGAGACAGCATAGCACCAATGGCAAAGTCGGAGGCATCAGCCTCGATGAAGAAAGGTTGTGAGGAATCAGCATGGATCAAGACAGGAGCAGAACTGAAGGCCGCCTTGAGTGTGTCGAAGGCCTGCTGGGCAGCAGCAGACCAAGAGAAGGGAACATCCTTGCGAGTGAGATGTGTGAGAGGAAGGACAATGTCAGAGTAGTGATCAATGAATTTGCGGTAGAAGTTGGCGAAGCCAAGGAAAACCTGAACGTCCGACATTGATTGTGGAGGCTCCCATTCGAGAATAGTCTTGACTTTGGCAGGATCCATCGTGATACCCTCAGGAGTGACAATGTACCCAAGGAACTCCACAGACTGCTGATCAAAGGAACATTTCTCAAGCTTCGCGTATAGGCCGTGTTCTCGCAGCTTCGCTAGCACCTTGCGTACATGTTCGTCATGCTCCTCCTGAGTTTTTGAGTAGATGAGGATGTCATCGAGGTAGACAATCACCATCTGATCAAGAAACTCCCGAAAGACGTCGTTTGCCATGTGTTGGAAAACTGCTGGAGCATTTGTCAAGCCAAATGGCATGACAGTGTACTCGAAGTGGCCATAGCGGGTTCGGAACGCAGTCTTCCATTCATCACCAGGCCGGATCCGGATCAGGTTGTATGCTCCACGGAGGTCGATCTTGGTGAAGAAGCGGGCACCGCCGAGACGTTCCAACAGGTTCGAGATCAGGGGCAGCGGATAACGGTTCCGAACAGTCACCTTATTCAGACCTCGGTAGTCGATGACTAGCCGCAAGCTCCCATCCTTCTTCTTGACAAAGAAGACAGGCGCTCCAGCCGGGGACTGCGAATGCTGAATGTAGCCCGAGGCAAGGTTCTCATCCACGTACTCTTTGAGGGCCTTAAGCTTGGACGGGGATAACCCGTAGATAGGCCCCCACGGAGGTGACGCTCCATCCTGTAAATCAATGGGACAATCATAATGCCGATGAACAGGCAGTACACTAGCTTTTTTCTTGTCAAACACATCCCCAAAATCATGATACTTCTTAGGAAGACTGACAGGAAAAACATGCAAAGCAAAAAGAAAAAGAGGTTCTTCATGAAGGAGTTCTTTCATAGTGATTGTGGAGATAGGAGGAGGCGTACGACTAAATGGAATGATGAGACGAGGATACGGTCCAGTGTAAGATGGAAGAGAGGAAAAAGAAGAGGGTGAAAACTTTATAGAGTCAGGAACAGAACCCCGATTAGAGTTTAGGGAACTTTTCCTGATTCGGACTCGATGAACAGTAGGGGAAGCCGTGGGAGAGATGAGCTGTAATTCCTTCCAACAGATTTGAGGCTGATGTAGTTGGAACCAAGGAAGACCGAGCACCACAGAGGAGGACTTGCTGTTGATGATGTTGAAGGCGATATCGGTGACGGTGGACCCGATGTGTACTCGAACGGGCAACGTTTCCCTAAGTCCAGAAGATGGAGACACAAAATGCCCGCCGATGCCTTCAACCCTCAAATCCCGTATGGTAGGAGAAAGAGGAACGTGATGTCGGGCAGCAAATTCCGTGTCCATGAAGCAGGAAGTTGCACCCAAGTCTAGTAACGCCAGAGCCTTAAGTCCTGATTGTCTGGTGAAAGAAAGGAGACATGGGACGCGGAAGTTGTGGGAATTGGTGGTGGCTTTGATGAAAGGTGGTGAGGAGCTTGATAACGAAGAAAAGTGATTTTTATTCGGGGAGTCCAAACAGACAGCTCCTACTCTGTTTGGACAGGGTCATTTCCCGACTGCAATAGAGGTGGACTTTGAGGCAGAGTGAACTCGAGCAGTCGAGGAGGCTTCTTGGGACATACAGCTGCTTTGTGATTAGGATCAGCACAATAGAGGCAAAGATTATGAGATATTCGACGTTGCTTCTCAGCAGGACTCAACTTCCCTCTAATGAGTCGGGGAGTACCAGAAATATCCATCGGGACCGGAGCAGTAGGTTCAGGACTATGCCCCGAAGACTCAAGCTGGGATTCCTAAGTCTGGGACGGAAAAACAGCGGCGCGGCGACTTTCCTGACGACGTTCAAAGAGACGATTGTCACATCTAACAGCTTTGTTGATGGCGTCCGACAGGTCCTTGGGATCCTCCATAGTGAGCAACAAATCCTTGACACCATTGTTGAGGCCGAAACGAAATTGGTCAATCAGGGCCCGCTCATCCCACTGAGTGTCCAAAGCAAGGAGTTGGAACTCTGCAGCGTAGATCGAGGCAGGACGAGACCCCTGAGAGAGACGTCTCATCTTTGTGGTAGCAGCCCGAACCCGATCCGTCTCGCCAAAACATGCTTCGAGCTTCTCTTTGAACAATTGAAGATCCATCAGTTCTGGAACCACGACCCCTTTCATGCTCTTCTCCAAAAGAGGAGAAAACCATGACAAAGCTGCACCTTCGAGCAACGTCCCAATCGCGCCGATTTGAGACTCGGGAGTAGGGTACCGCCGATGTTGAAGTGCGAAGATCAACTCCATCTGGTTCAGGAATCCGCGAAGCTCCGAACGCTTGCCTGAAAATTTTGCCGGGAAGCTCACCTTCGGTTCAGGAACTTTGCTGGATCCTTGAGCCGAAAGTGAAGCAAGCTCCTGCTGCATGCGAAGAAGGGTCGCCTTCAGCTCGGTATTCTCAGACTGGATTTTTGCAAGGACTTCAGCAAAGAAATCACGATGGCTTGGAGACTCCATTGGCAAGAAGAAAGAAAAAAGGGGGAAAAAAAAAGGCAAAGGTAATCATAAAATCAAAGCAAGCTAAAAGAAAAGCAAAAACCACAATCTGAATCAAACTGTCAAGACCCCCAACAAGATCAAGACTGGAAAATGCTAAGACAAAGAGAAAAAGCTAATGAAAACAAAGAAGAGGCCTTAGACTGGTGTTGATTCAGATTGTGGAGAAATGGAACAAGGCTAACCTATATATACTATAGGTTGATGAAGCTCCACCACTCTTGAATCGAGGACGGCCTAAATATAGCTGAGGTCGAGGAGGCGCCACATCATCATCAGGAATGTGGCTCGAGAGTCAGGAATAGGGAAGTGTCTCGAGAGTCAGGAATAGGGAAGTGTCTCGAGAGTCAGGAATGTGGTTTGCAGGTCAGGAATCCGGCGAGAGTCAAGAATGTGGCAAGAATTGGGGGATTCCTGACAAACATTAGACTGAAAATAAGAATTATAAAAATTACAAATGATTGATATGCCAGGAGAAGGAAATATTGTAAATAAAGAAAAAAAACTAAGAACATGGAAAGGTGCCTCAGGTGTCGAGAATAAAAAAAGGTTGGGAAAGAGTAAAAGTAAAGATAAAATATTAGTAACTTGAAAGATTGATAAACATAAATGTATATTATCCTATGTCCTATAGAGATTAAACAACATCAAGAGCACACTTTCACAAAGAGAAACTAGGTAGCACTAGATATTCATGCTCATAGTATATTAATTGGGGTTTAAACCCATGTTTATGGATCATACTCAATTTTAAATGGACACATAATATTTAGTATATTACCTAACCAGGGTAATGCATGTATATATATATAAGTTAAGAAACTATAAATAAACCTATATTAAAATTTATATAATAAATATAATTATAAAAAACATTTTCTCAATATTTAATTTTACATCATAGCAATTTCTTTTTAACACTACACAAAAGATATAAAACTTACACTCATAATTTTTTTATTTTTTTCATAAATTTAGAATTCATTTTAATGAGATTCCCTTGCCAGCCAAGGTGGGAAAGAAGTGGTAACTGTTTTTTTTCTTTTATGTGTGAAACACATCCCCTTGTCAACTTTTACTGTCCAAAGGGTCCTCGAGTAGCCGTGTTGAACCAGTCAATGCGTCCAAATGAGATTTTGGTTGTAGGACCTCCTTAAGAGCTGATATTTCAGTCATTGCAAGAAGTGCCGCCCGGAACTACTACAACGTGGTAGGAATTTGTGAGGAACTCTCCGACTTGGATCCGGCAGAGGGAGAGGTAGTTGCTGTGAAGAGCTGCGACAGAGTTATAGAGAAGGTGGTCAGGCAACATCGATGGTGGAGCTGAGTTTTCTAGTAAGCCGGGCAAATATACTTTTGTGCAAAATTGTTCTTTTTTTTTATTGTATCCGATGCTGACATGCAAATATTCTTTGCCATGTGGCAACAAGATTCAAGAATTATCCGCAGGGATTATCATGGCGACAAGCTTCCAGGACGCGCCAGTCATTGTCCGCAATGCTGCCAATGGGCGCAAGATTTTCATGGCCAAATGCTCAGACTGTCACGCAGTGGAGAGCGATGGCGGCCACAAGCTTGGTAAGGCCCAGCTGATCGATGATTTTTGTCCTTGTAGTTTCGGAATTTTACTGTGGCCCTTGATCTCGATCGGTTCCAGGCCCCAATCTCCACGGCTTGTTTGGAAGGCAAGCAGGGACCGCGCCAGGCTACGCATTCTCGCCGGCAAACAAGAACACGAAAGTAATCTGGGACGAGGGAGCGCTTTTCGACTACATTTTTTATCCGAACAAGGTACCACAGCCATTATCTCTTGACGATCGCGCAGTACTGCTAGAATTATCCAGTGTTTCTCCTCCACTCCATCGCAGTTCTTTCCAGGAACGAAAAAGCCCTATGATGGCCTCGCTTCCCCGCAGGAGAGAGTCGACCTGATCGCGTATTTGAAAAGAGCGTGCTGACCGGCCGTAAGGTTTCTGACTGCCTGTAGCCAGTTGCTGGAAGTTCTGCGAAGGGCCTGGCAATTCTGGCGGAATTTTCTTGGTGTCCAAACGGGACATAACTATTTTGAATCCTTTATCTTTGGAGGAACTTCATCGGTTTGCTACTTCTTTCGTAGACTTTCACGGCGGTGCCTGGACACACTGGATAATCTTCGCTATGGGCACGTAGAAATCGATGTCTCTCCCCAAAAAGGGTGTCTTTTTATAATCTAAAAATTAAAAAGAAACACGCAAACTTGAAAAATCATAAACTGAGCTAAATTTCAATATTTACTTGTATAGCACATTGCGTGGGCCCCGCGGTTGCAACGTGGCTGCCCGTTGCAGCCGCGGGGATGGCGTTCGCGTCTTCTCCAGTCGCGATCTCAACGACTGCATCCAGAACGTCGAGGGAGTTCTCCAGTGCTGCTAGATCCTTCTGGATGATCAAACTATATCCATATGATGAAAGATGAATAACTGAGTGAGCTCCCATATGATCTCTCTCCTTGTGATGTTCATAAAAAAATGTTTCGCTGTTCTGATCAAATAAAACTTACTCACGGAAGTTTCCAGTCTTACTTGTACAACTTTTTCTCATACAAAATTTATATTAAATTAAGGTATATTATTCCTAATAAATGAGAATTTCTTTCACTTTAAAGTCTATGATCCTTATTAATGTCCCGTTTCATCAAGGATTAAAATCATAAATGTAGTCGACATGGGCTTGCTGCTCGTGATCACCAGAGATAGTCGACTGACAACACACGATCATGCATGTCAAGAATATTGTCTCAAATACAGGATTATTTTACCCCCGGTTCGGCAATTTTTGCGGTGGAATTGGAATCCAGCTGATTAGCAATCGTAGCCATCACTGTAAAAAGACAAAAAGATTCAATTACGTAAGAACCAGGTTACACGCTTGCATGCAAGCGAATGCAGGCATGGACCATGATGTTTCAAAAGAAACACAGAGATCAATAAATCCAATTGAGATTAGAGATCGGCATATTCAATCGAGATTGGAGAACAGGGATTGTAAGAAACGGTACGTACCTGTTTCATTCTTCACTGGCCGAGAGGTCACAGCAGCAGCCACCAAGAGGACGAAGAAGAAAAAACTTAGTGCGCGAGACATGATCTAGAGTTTCTCTTGCAAAGAAAATCTATCAAAGAGAGACAAAGAGCCAATCAATGATATGATCAGCGTTTGTGTTGATATCGTATATATGCTGCCGAGAAAAGGTCAACCACTGAAGAACGGCCACGTCAACATGCAAAGTGGCAGTTTTGACTGGATGGCTGGAAACCAGACTTCCAGTTAGCTTTTCCCTCTCCGAAATTACTGGAATTCACTCGCGAGAATTCTTTTCATCCTGCTCATTTTTATTAACTTTTGCACTTTCAAAATTCTAGAGTAAAAGCAAAATGGCTAGAGCTCCCAAGATCCTGGAGAGACTTCCACTGTTTCCACCCGATCTTTCGTCAGCTTGGAAAGCGGGATAGTTCCGGCACTGCGGTGATTTCACAATGTAGATCTGGTCTCCAAGGTGACTATCACCATACACGTCTTGGTTGCGGTACCACGTCCACAGGGCATGGGTATTGTTCTTCACCTAAAGAGAAAAAAGAGCAAACTTCGATCGATCAAGAGGTTCAACTCTCGGGGTTACCTCCAAGACGCCGTGACCAAAGCTTCCATCTCGCAGCGCGCTCCAATCCGGCTGCCTGCCCCAGCAGAATTGATTCGCCGCTGGTCCAGTGCTGAAGTTTTGAGCACAAACTCCACCGAATTGGGGGACGTTGTCCTCAGGCTTGGGGCACCTCCCCGGATCGTCGGCGTGCTCCGTGTCCACTCTCTCTATATTGCCGCCATCGCCCACCACGATGTAGAGCGGAGCGCACGGGTCCAGCTCGTAATTGTAGACTCTGTTCGTCCTCTCATAGGCATGGACCTGGAAGAACACCCAAAGAAATTGGAACCCAAATGTGAGGATTCCTGTCGAGATCGAAAAGAGAGAGGGATTTACATGGCCATTGATGACAATGTCGACGCCGGCATTGTAGAGAAGCTCCTCCATTTCGAGACGCATGCACTCGACCTCGCGGTAGTGGGAGCCGTAGCTATTGTACCACGGCGGATGCCACGCCGCCACGATCCAGGGCGTGAGGAGCCTGTTGACGCGCTGCAAATCATCCTTGAGCCACGCGAACTGAGCCCCTAGTGCCAAGAACCCTAAAAACAGAGCCCAAGAACCCTACAAGGTAGTACCTGTTCTGTTGTAGTCAATGTATCCTCCCAGCATCAGGAAGTGGATGCCGCCGACATCGAACGAGTAATAAAGGCTGGAATTCGATCCAGGAGGCACCGAGAATCTGGCCTTGTATGATTCGAATGTTTTGCCCAATGCCTGGGGCTCGATCTCGTGGTTGCCCTCGATCACCATCATGGGCACCTTGGCCGTGAGCGGTTCCATGAATCTGGGAGCAAGGAAATCAGGGATTGGATCGCGAATCTATAGTCTTGCTCTCACCTCCCCCAGTGATCCCAGTGAGGCTGATAAGTCTCCCGGATTGGCGCGTCTGGAAATGCGCAGCTGAAGCAGAGCGATCCAGTGCCATTGGTGATGTATTGATCCGAGTATGTGAGATCGCCCACCATGAGGAGGAGCGAGGGATCGTTCCGGATGACGTGATCAACCGTGGCGCTCGAGTTGTAAGTGAGTCCCAGATCGCCCACGACGGCGATCCTCGCGGGATAGCCGCGATCGTCCAGCGTCGTGAATGAGAGCTCCTCGCTCAATCGCTCCAGCGAGCTGCCGCATCGGTAGTAGTACGTCGTCGATGCCTTCAATCCTGCGCAGAGACTTCCCGAAAATTCCACGAATTTGCGCTCTACATCTTACCGTCGAGGAGGACGTGGTGATTGAATCCCGAGGTGTAATTGAGAAGGCCCACGAATGGATAGAGCTGGCTGTAGACCACCACCGATCCCTCCGCCAGGAAATCGTAGTTGTGAGTGGAAGTCCCATACAGGACAAAGCTCTTAGTGGTGGAAGGATCGAGGGGGACGACGTTGTCCCCGATTTGATAGTCCCCTGTTACATCAAGCAGCACACAAATCTCAAGATCGATCGATCAATTCACACCCCCAATCTCATGGATTTGATTACCGGAGACCCACGACACCCACATCGATCCATGATGCGAGAGCGCGAGCTTGATCTGCTCGGGAAATCCGTGGGGCCTCGTCCGCTGGAGCCGCGGATCATCGGTGGGCAAATCCTGGCTTCCTCGCCGCAGGGAGCTGTCGAATGGGATCGTGACTGGCTTGAACGGGCCCTCCAGCGTCGTCGGGGTCGATCGCGAAAGCCCCGCGAGAAGAAAAATCTCCACCAAAAGAAAGATCCTCCTTCTCCAATCCATTTATTCGCGGGAGAGAAAACACCGCAAAGCTCCAAGGAAAATAAATACGTTTGGCGCCCCACCGTACGGACTGGGGAGCGTACTGTTTCACGCGCCAAACGTTGCTGATGTGGCAAGCCCTAGCATTTCAAATTTTAGGGCTAGAGCTCTTCGTCTTCTCGGGGCTCCGCGAGGCGAGGTGATGGCGTGCAGCAGGTGAATAGGGTCGGGATTTGAGTCTCAGTGTAGGTGGCAGTAGCGGCGCGGCTCCCGAGTGGATTTTTATGGGACAGGCGCGCGTTTCTTGCTGGGGATCGTTCTAGGGTTTCGTCGGTCCAGCGCGTCGATCTGCGAGTGCTATGATTTCATTCGCGTCATCATCCCTCCGTGAAGAGAGATTCGTGAGGCTTCCTTCCAGCTTGCAGACGGATTGACATTGCTCGGTTTTTCGTTTTGTTTCGGCCGAGCAGCAACACGGGGAAGGAATCGGAGTGCCTTGGCTGGGCCGCCAAGGATTCCTCGGGTGTCTTAGCTCCATGGAAATTCCCCAGAAGGTATGAATCGTTCTCATTCCATCTCCATCACTACATTCTTTTTGGAATGGCAGACCCTTGCGTTCTACCGATGTAAAATTCAAGATCTCCTACTGTGGAATTTGCCACACAGACTTACACTTGATCCACAACGAGTGGGGTTCGTCCAAATACCCCATGGTTCCTGGGTAAGAAAGGCAGTCCGTCTGTCTGGGTTATAAACTGGAAGATCCAAAACAAGAACATTGGAAGCAAACATCCGGGTGACTAAACGTTTGGGTGAGATGATCGACCAGGCATGAAGTTGTGGGAGTGGTCACCGAGGTTGGTCCCGGTGCCAAGAAGTTTAAGGTTGGCGATCACGTTGGTGTGGGATGCATGGTGTTTTCCTGCCTAAAGTGCGACCACTGCAAGCACGGAGACGAGCAGTACTGCGATCAACTTATCTGGACGTATAACAGTCTGGAAGACGGGAAGATCACTTTCGGAGGCTACTCGGGATTCATGGTGACAGACGAGAAGTAAGTGAGGATCTTTAGCAGCACAAGTCTAACTCTTTTCTTCTCCAGATTTGTGTGCCGTGTTCCAAACAATCTTCCTTTGGACGCTTCGGCACCCTTGCTGTGTGCTGGGATCACCGTCTACAGTCCCATGAAGCACTTTGGCATGACGCAGCCTGGGAAGAACTTTGGCGTCGTCGGCCTCGGTGGTCTGGGTCATATGGCCGTCAAGTTTGGCAAGGCCTTTGGGATGAAAGTCACAGTTATCAGCACCTCTCCAAACAAGGAGAAGGAAGCCCGGGAAGTTCTGGGTGCTCATAACTTCATTGTCAGCCGGGACGCAGCTCAAATGACGGTAACGAGCAATCGTTCCTGGGGACTGTAACTTCTTAAGTTTTTGATTCCAGAAAGCTGCGAAGACAATGGACTACATCCTCGATACGGTGTCTGCGCCGCATCCCCTGGATGCCTTGCTCGAGCTTCTAAAGATCGATGGAAAGCTCGTCATGGTGGGATTACCAGACAAGCCCCTTGATCTTCCGGCAGGAGTCATTATCTTTGGTACGCGAACTCTTTTGATCTCCTCGAGTTCTAAAAGGTTTCCATGGATCAACCAGGTCGTCGAACGCTTGCCGGTAGCTTCATCGGATCAATCAAAGAGACGCAGGACATGCTGGATTTCTGCGGCAAGAACAATGTCACGTCCATGATCGAGCTCGTCCCCATGGACTACGTCAACAAAGCTATGGAACGCCTCCGCAAATCGGATGTGAAGTATCGTTTCGTGTTGGACGTGGAAAAGACTTTGAAATAGAGAGAGAGGGAAAGAAGAAATTCCATTCAATATAAACAAACATATGCCAAGAATTTTGATTAGGGTTTATCGAAGAGCAAGGGCGGGAGGGAGTGATGGCGCTCGCTCGTCGCGTCTCTAGAAAGGCTTGTGCCACGCTCCTCCTGTCGATTCGAAGGTATGGAAAAATGTGGATCGCGATTGAAGGAGTGAGCTGAGATGCTTGTGTCACTTTGCGTGCCCCATCCAGGCATAGTACTTTCGGCATTGCCTTTGACATTGATGGCGTCCTTGTTCGCGCAAACAAGCCGCTGTGTGGGTCATCGCAGGCCCTTGCTCGTCTCTATCAAGAGCCCTCTTCAGAAAGCACGTATGTTGTTCTTTCTTCTTCTCTTATTGATTGTTTTTCCCTTTGCTGTGCCTTGCAGCCACGCTTCGTGTCCCTTTTATACTTTTCACAAACGGTCGGTAAGATGGTCTTTCTTCCTCTCGTACTGATCTTTTCGCATTTTTCTAGGTGGCGGGTACACGGAAGAGAAGAAATCCTTGGAGCTGAGCAAATTGCTGAAGATCAAGTTGTCAAGTGATCAGGCAAGCGGGATTGTACTCCATGTTTGTTTTTCTTCACCATTTTCTCTAAGCTCCTGCGCGTTTGTACAGGTGTTCTTGAGCCACACTTCCTTCAAGGAACTTGCAAGCTGGTCAGTGGTTTAAACTGCAACTTTCACGTATGTTTGTGCGTGTGCCCGGATAGACAAGTGGACGTAAACGCTGATTGCGTGATGCAGCTACCGGGACAAGAGGACGCTGGCTGTTGGCAAGGGCGAGCCGGCTCAAGTGCTGCGGCACTACGGGTTCATGTAAGCGTGTTTCTTCGCTAGAGCTTCGACGCTGACAAGCATTATTGTACTGCACCAGGAACGTGGTTGCGATGGACGATTACGTTTGTGAGTTTGAAAGCATTGATCCATTGGAACAGTACAAGCCGTGGTCGAGAGCTGGCTCGGCAACATTGGCAGGGAGGGAATCGCAGGACGTCCAAGCTGTTTTTATCGTAAGCGACCCTGTTGATTGGGGCCGTGATATACAGGTCGTGTTTCTGGATTTTCATTTCGGTGACAATATGGAGTGCTGGCTTGCAGGTGGTTTCTGATGTTCTAAATGGTGGAGGCAATCCTTTAAAAGTTGGTGGAAAGGCTCCGCCTTTATATTTTGCGGCGGACGATCTTATCTATCAGGTGAAGAATCCACCTGGCATTCCTCGAGCTTTTGGAAGAACAAAAAAATTCATCTTTGTTTCATGTGCAGTCAGCATTTCCCGTCGTGAGGTATGGGATGGGAGCATTTCGAATCGCGCTGGAAAGCGTTTATACCAGGTAAAACGTGATGAAGCTTCTGCATTGTTTACACATTCCTTGTGTTCAGATTAACCGGCATGCCAATGGTGTACACGTCTTTTGGGAAACCAAAACCAGCGACGTACAAACTCGTTAGAAAAGAATTGGAGAAACTTGCTGGCTCTGTGGATCCATTGCAAACGATCTACATGGTTGGTGACAACCCGGCGACTGACATCCGCGGTGCAAAGGAGGTGGTGTGACTGTGCATAATTCAACACCTTAACGTTGTCCTTAGGCAGGAAAGCCATGGTTTTCAATCCTCGTGAGGACTGGATGCTTCAGGGGAATCAACAACGACGAAGAATTTCCAGCCGATGGGGTAGAGTTTGTGAGCGATTTCTTTGCTTTAACTCCGATATTTGTTCCTCAGGTCGTCGATAACATCGTCGAGGCAGTAGATTTTATATTGAAAAGAGAGGGACTAGATTGAGACATCAACGTCGGTGTAGCTTGTAAGGACGTCTGGATTTTTTTATTTCTTTTTCTCATCGCTGGTTACCATCGGCGTTGAAAATTCGTCGTACGGAGGCGAGAGATCTTTTTTTCCCCTACTAACATTGCTTGATGGAACGAAAACTCGAGTTTTCCATGCAGATCAAGCGGGCCTGTTCAGAGTAAGGCAAATGTATCAATCGCGGATCGACAGAGGCATTTACAAGTCCTGTGGCGCCGGTGGTTGGTTGCAAGGGACAAAAGGATGCACGGAACAAGGCCACGGAGAGGTACGGTTTGGTGGATAGGGTGTCTCAATTGGAGTAAATGCCGCGAAAAAAGAAAAAAAAAAAAAAAGAAAAACCGCAGCAGTATCCCCGTGTGGAATGCTTGTTGCCTTCGCCCCTCGTTGCTCTCTTCTTTTTTTCTCTCTCTCTTTTTTCTCACACTTTTTCTTTTCGTTTTTCCAGTCCTGCGAGGATTCCAGCAGTAGGAGCCAGTTCTCTGGTTTTGATGGAGCTGGACGTTAGCGGCCTGCGAGCAACCAGGTAAGTTAAGTCGCCAGTTCCATTCATTGTTGGAACGACTTCTTCCAGTGCTGCAGTGCAGTGCTTCTCTCACAGTGGCGTCGGTTATCTTTGCAGGAGGGGGAGCTCTCCATCGCCTCGGTGTAGCGCGATGCGACGAGAGCTTTGGTTCATCTCTTCCCGATCCAAAAGGTCGTAGCAGCATTGGTTGGAGATTCGGTGGGGCTTCCCTGTCTTTTGTCCGCTCGCTTGTTATTGGGACTAGCGAACCAAGCTTCCCGAGAAGACGAAGACGAAGGCGAGAAAGAAGAGCTCGCCGAGAATTTGTCTACGCATGTATGATCGTTATCCTCATTTGCTTTTCTCTTTTGCTGAGAGGCCATCTTTTCTCTCTTCCTTGTTGTCTCGCAACCGCTAGCTAGGCGAGAAAAGAGACGAAGTTTTGACCGACGGGCAGGATGGGGTTCCGCGAAAATCGCGACACGTGGACGGCCACGATGCTCGGCTCTCCGCGTTGCTTATATTCCCTTCTCTTCTTTAAAGGCGGGTTATATATTTTATTTTTCACTCGCGGAGTTTGAGCGTTTTCGCGGGGCAATGAGCAAGAAAATGTGTGGCATTGCATCGCTCTTCCAGCAGAGAAATTCCTCCTCGTCGTCGCCCCGGAGCCGGAGCTCCTATTCCTGCGGCTCCAATTCGGCTCTGGGATCCGACTGGTTGCAGCGCGTCTCCAGCTCCTCGTGGGACGATCTCAGCAGTCGGTCCTCCTCTCCTTGCTCCACCGCCATCTCCTCGCCCAATTGCGGGGAGGCGGCGCCGCCGGATGTGCCCGAGGGATCGCTGGCGCTCTACGTGGGGCGGAGCGAGCAGCAGCGCCGGCGATTCGTGGTGGGCACTGCCCATCTCAACAATCCCCTGTTTCGCCCGCTGCTCGACAAGGCCGCCGAGGAGTATGGCTACCACTACGAATCCGGGGCGCTCACCATTCCCTGCGACGCGCACCTCTTCCAGCACGTAGTCTGGCTGCTCGACCACAGCGATGATCCGGCCGCCCAAATCGGCCAGCTTCTCAGCTGCGGCTCGTCGTGAATTTGGGCCTCGATCGCCCAGGTGATCGATCCTCTTGCCCCTCTTATCTGCGAGGATTTCTCTTCCAGAGCGCGACGACGTACGACCCAATGAATCTTCCCGCAGGGAAAAAAAAAAGCCTCTCAGGGTGAATTTTCGTTCGCGATCTCATACTCGCGCGCGCTGCTCGAGAAGAGATTTGTAACATCATCTCCTAGATAAATCAATCGATCGATCATGGCATAGAAACCACATTCGAGAAGCAGTGATGTACAGCGCTCCTCCTCTTGATGCTGAAAGAGAGAAGAACAAATAGACTTATCGGGCGAGTATCGTCATGGAGATAGCAACACGCCAAAGTTTGTGCATAGGATCAGTCGATCAAATTCCATGTATCCAATCAATCACATGTTCACTCACTGGATGGAGCAGTACGATCGATCCCGCCGATGATCGCTGTTCGTCTTACTCATCCCGTGAGCGCGAATGCTCTGGAGTGGAGGAATGGACTGGAGCCAACTGTGGAGCTGTGACACGCAAACGCAACGTGCTTGGGCGACCTCGTCACACAGCCACATTGATCTTCCATTTGTCGGCCAGGAATCCGACCGCTCTCCCAGCTCGTTCGAGCTCACCTGGAGAAACAGAGGAGGGAAAGAAAAGAGGAGGAATTTTTTAGAGGAAAAGGTGATCCTCATTTAAAGATCTGGCTGGAGATTCTAGCTAATGCAATCACGCAAGAACCATGCCTCTGCTTTGGCACCAAGAATAAATAAAAGAGAGCGAGCTCCAAAAGCAAAACCGGAGAGAGATCTTACAGCTTGGAAGCGTCGGCCTCTCGTTCCTGAAGTTCAAAAGATGGACTTGCACCGCAACAGAACTCGCGGGAACTGCTGCATGGAAAGAGCGAGGAACTTATCAAAACCATCTTTTGCGATGAATAGTCGATCTAGTGCAATCGATCCATCCGGAAACAAAAGGAGTAGAGAGAGAGCGACGCCAACCTGCGTCCAGGATGAGAACTTTGACGTGCAATGTCGGCTTCCAAAACGATCCAGTTCCCAAGTGGTCCATGCACTCCTCGCATCCCATTGCCAGGCTTCCAAACGCTTGTCTTGTATCCAGCAACAGTGTGGCTGCTCGCGTCCTCCACGCCTTTTTTTTTTCTCTGTCTCTATGTTTTTTTTTTTTTTTCTCTCTTTTTTCTTTCTCTGTCTCTATGTTTTTTTTTCTTTGTCTCTATGGCTTAGATCTCGATTTCCTACACTTTGACAATGCTTTTGATTGCTTGCTTGTGTAGAGAGGTTTTTATCCATCCTCTACTCTTAGATTCTTTGAATATATGGTGTTGGTGAAAAGAACCGGCTTGGACACACTGGACTTGGAGCATCGCCGCTTATCACCGGCTTATGCGTTGACGCTGCATGAGCAAAGTTGCGAACACGCAAGCTGCAAACAATTCCGATCCAGCACGACGCTTCCATTGCCTCCCCCGCCTCGTCCACCACCGCTAGCCCCCGCTCAATTTAACACTCGTCTTGAGCCGCCGCACTTACGTCTTGATGTTACCATCCTACCGCTGCACGACTTTGGTGATGAAAAAAGGCCAGGATACAAAGGCGCATGCGACCGCTCGCATGCAACCGCTCGCTTATACTTAGGACTCTTGCAATGGAACCAAAAAATTCAGAGTGTCTTTTTGACAAGTCCCAGAGTTCGGGCTGGAACCAAAAATTCAGAGTGTCTTTTTGACAAGTCCCAGAGTTCGGGGTGGAAAGGATGCCGTGATCAAGCTACTGCTGGAAAAGAAAAAAGAAGCCCCCAAAGCAAGTAAAGAAAACGTCATGCAAAATAACCATCCTTAAAAGAAGATCCAAGAGACAAGAGAAAATTAGAAATTGCTTTAGGTGGAATTCTAAATATCATTTTTCTTGTGCATGACTGTCATCTTCAAGAGGTAATTCTAGACTCCGTCGTCGAGGGTTCACTTCCTCAGGTTTGAGGTCTGTGAACCTGTTGAGGACCTGCCTGGACATGACGCCCGGTGTGCTGTTGTGCTCCTCAATCTCCTTGTACGCCTGCTTGAACAACCCAAAGCGATACGCCTCCTCCTCTGCACTGGAGTAACTCTTGTGCCACTTCTCTTTCCACTCTTCAAACAAGCGCAACAACGCCTCCTCCTCTATTGGTCTTCCCATACCTATACACCTCGACCTAGTAATAACCCGCTGCCTTTATTCTCATCTAGAAACATCATCCAGACCGTCGATATCAATGACAAGGATCATAGCAAACAAAAGAAGAGAGAACAGTTGCTTCACAGGTTCGCTGGGAAGAAACAAGAAAAGCTGTCGGAAGCATAATCCTTTGATGAAACAAACAGACCTCGTAAGTTGTTGCCTTGGCGGGATCAAAGATCTTGTTTTGCTAGGTTCGATCGAAAAGACACCCCTACCAAGCCTGGGAAGAAGAGACAATCACAAAGTTAGAAACCATGAAACAAAGAATGCGATTGACACTATAGATATGGTCAAGCAGAGAAAATGATGAGACCTTTGAAGGAACTGATAGCAACCAGGTCATGCATGATGGAAGAACTCGAAGAGCTCGAGGAACTTTTTTCCTCCTCATGCTTTTCACCGCAGCGGGAGCTAAGATTTTTCTTGCCTAGGCCAGCATCGATCTACGAAAGCGTCTATGTTGCTGGATCCCCGCCACCATCTCCACGCTCAATCCCTTGAAACTTTTTTTTGCCATCTAGAATAAGAACGTTCACCGGCGCTTCTGACACTTAATTTATTGACCATATAACAAAAGGAGAGTGATCTCGATTTTCTTTAACAAAACTCTTCATTTCGCCCATTTGATCGTTCCAAAGTATCAAAATCGTCGAGTCTACTTGGAAAAAACTACATTTTCCTCCTGTTTCTACTTCATCCAGCACATTCCAGCTTAGACGACGTCCAATATTGAATGACCAACAGTGAAGTAAGCAAAGGTTCGTCTTGTTCTCAAACACTGAAGCATAGCTACTCGAAGAGTTTTCCTACAGTGGAAACTGTGCCTGTGAAAGAGATGAGAAATCTACTTGCTTTAACTCTTTCTCTGCCGAGGGTTCACTTCCTCAGGTTTGAGGTCTGTGAACCTGTTGAGGAAGCCTGGACGTGACGCCGGGTGTGCTGTTTTGCTCCTGTACGCCTGCATCAACAAGCTAAAGCGATACGATTCTCTTATATTGAATCAATCACTCGATCAATCACTGGGTGGAGGAGGAGTACGATCGCTGTTCCTCCTGCTCGCGTACCACGACGATCCCGTGAGCGCGAATGTGCTGGAGGAGACGGCGGAGGAATGGATTGGAGCCAACCGTAGAGCTGTCACACACAATCGCGACGTGCTTGCGCGACCTCGTCACCGCCACATTGATCCTCCGCTTGTCGGCCAGAAATCCGACCACTCCCAGCTCGTTCGATCTCACCTGGACAAACAGAGGAGGTGATCCTGAGATATAGACTATCTGGCTGGAATGCAATCACGCAAGATCAAAAAGAAAGATTTTTACAAGATCCAAAAGCAAAAAAGAGGGAGATTTTACCATGGAAATCACGACAGCATCGGCCTCTCGTCCCTGAAAGCTGTCGATGCTCTCGGTCTGTACGATATCTCCCAGGCTTTCCTCGTCGAGCCTGGCTCTCAAGAGATGGACTTGTGCCAGGTACGGCGATTGCACGGCAATAGAACTTGCGGGAACTCCTGCATATTAAAAGCGAAGAACTTAGCAATGAAAAAACCATCTTTTGCCGATCCATTAAGCAGCTAGAACGATACGATTGATCAATCCAATCGTAGTGAAAAGAGGAGAACGAAGGCAACCTGAGTGGATGAGAGCTTTGACATGCTCCACAACAATGTCGGCTTCCCCATCGTTGTAAAACGATCCCGTTCCCAAGTAGTCCATGCACTCCTCGCATCCCATCGCCAGGCTTCCAAACGCTTTTCTTGTATCCAGTAACAGCATGGCTGCTCGTGTCCTCCACGTCTCCTATGAAAGCAAGCAATCAAAGCGTAAGAAATCGAAAAACAAAATCTCTCTTTTTCCTGCCATGGAAGAAGAAGAAGAAAGTCGAAGAAGAAAGAAAGTCCAAGTACCTTGACTTGTGGCGAATCCGATAGAACTTGCTTGGCCACCGAAGGAGCGGTCTTCACCAATCCTCCATACATCTCGCTCGACGCCCAGCTCGCGATGGCTTCGTTCATCCGGTACTGGACCTGGAGCATCGTGTTCATCACCGCGGAGTGGCCCAGCGACGTTGACGCTCGCTCCATCAGCGAAGTTGCGAGGCCTCCATCCACGGCTTCAGCTGAAAATACCGTTGGTGCCAGCTGACAGGCATCCCCGGCCAAAACCACGCGCGAGCTGCGAAGAATTCCGATCCAGCACGACGGTTCCATCGCCTGCCCGGCCTCGTCCACCACCGCCAGGTCGAATAACCCGGTTTTGCGAAGCAAAGGATCGCCAGCTCCAATGCTCGTGCACAGGACAACTTGGGCAGCCGCCAGGACCCCGACTGGGATCTCCTCTTCCTTTTTTTTCACGGATTTGTCTAGCCTCCGCAAGTTCTTGTCTATCTCCGCCTTGATCTTGCCATCCTGGCACCGCATAGAAGCTCTCCTCAAGGCGGCTTTGTCGCTGGCAATGCTCCGCTTGAAGTCGACGAGTTCGGAGCTGACGATGTGAGTGAGCGATTTGGAGACGACCGAGGGCGACATTCTCACAGGATTCCCGACGCGAACAACCCGCAAGCTCGTGTCGCTGAGCCGGTCGACGAGATTATCCACCGCTGCGTTCGTAGGGGCTGTCGCAAGAACTTTGTCACCGCGAGCCACGGCCTGGATGATGATCTCCGTCACTACGTTTGTTTTTCCTGTCCCCGGAGGCCCCTGGATCACGGCCACTGGCCTCGACTTGTCCAGCCCGAGCTGGATCGCTCGCCTCTGGGATTTGTCAAAGGATGCTCCAGACAAAGTTGACGCAAGCAGCGAGTGAGTATCTTCAAGTTGGTCTTTGCCGCGAGCAAGTTTTTCGATCTCTTCTCCTTGTCCGAAGAGAACAGCGGCGATGGCAGCTGCTGGATTGTCCTTGCTCACTGCAACTTTCTTGAGTTGCTTCAGTGCTTCACAGTTTCGCTGGGAAGAAACAAGCAAAGTTAAGACAGATCCTTGAGTGAAACAAACACACCTCGTAAGTTGTTGCGTTGGCGAGATCAAAGATCTTGTCGATCCGTATTGAGCGACCCGATAGCTTCATCAGCGCCCGGCCTCCACCGGGAAGAGCTACTTCGATAAACTGGCCATCTTCACAAAGCTTGTAAACGGAGCCTCGCAGACACTCAGTCGCAGGGATTCCTTGCCTGTTCGAAACTCTCACACAGACCATATCCCCGGGAGAAAGGCTTGTCGGAGGAAGCCGGTTTTGCGAGTTTTTGGATCGAAAGGACACCACTTCAGTGCCTCCCAAGCCTGAGAAGAAGAGACAGTCACAAAGTTAGACGAAACCATGAAAGAAAGGAATGCGATCGACATATGCTCAAGCATCGATCATGCTCAACCTCACAGGGAGAAAATGATGAGACCTTTGAAGGAACTGACAGCAACCAGGTCGCACAATGCACCACACTCTTCATGCAAGATGGAAGGACTGGAAGAGCTCGAGGAACTCTTTTCCTCCTCATCGTGATCCTCTTCGTCACCGCAGCCGGAGCTCAGCTTTTTCTTGCTGCTTCCATCGAGTGCTTGCTGTGTGGCAGCCAACTCGGCCTGTCTCTCTACGCTCAAGAGCTCGAGGTATCGATCTACGAAAGCGTCTACCTTGCTCTGGATCCCCGCCACCACCTCCTCGGTCAACCCGTTAAAACTCTTCTTCGCCACCTTGATCCTCGCGGAGCTTCGATGCTGGCCTAGATTTCAATCCAAATCACGTTCTGAGAATGATCGGTCGGTATGATCGATCCCTGATCAAAGAGAATGACAAGGAAGAAGAAGAACGCTCACCGGATTTTGATCTCTTCTTGAACAACTTCCACGAATCCGTCTCCTGCCACTCCTCGACACTCCCTTTCTCCTGGAGATCCACCAGAGAGTTCTTGAGCTCTCGCTGGAAGTGATCATAGAGAGTGGGATAGTGATTCCTGGCTCGCTGGCACTCATCTTCCAGGCCCTCTGGAAGCTCCACCCTGTCGAGAAATGGCTGGACGAGCCTCACGAGCTCCTCCCCGACTCCCACTCTCTCCTCCACTCCGGCCAAATCACGCGCCCTCTCCGCCTCGGCGATCTCGGCCGCCATAGCCTGGATTCCTCGCCCCACCCAGCTCACCACCTTCTTCCCCAGCTCCCTGCGGCCCAATGGATTGCAGTCTTCGCGGCTCAAGGCCGCCACGATCGCGTTGCCGCTGTGAGCAAGATCCGAGCTAGGATTCATTCTCACCTTGATCCTCCTGCCCAGGAAGCCATGCATCAAGAGCTCGGGATTGCAAACCGCGGCCATGGTCGATCAAATAGTGGTCAATCTCGAGCTCTTGGGAACGCGGGCTACAGCATCGCGACACGAGCTCCAAACACGACCGCGCCACAAGAATTCGAGAGAACTTCCATGGCCCAGATCAAAGAGAAGTAATATCCAAGCGATTAGTTTTTGAGAAAAAAGAAGATTTTTACTCCATCCTGCTAGCATTCTTGCGAGATTGCGCGATAGTCGAGGTTTCTCATACAAAATCGAGATCGCTCTCCTTTGCCAACCAAGTGTTACATGGTTGATCGCTCTAGAGTTTCAAGTATCAAAATCGTCGAGTCTACCCGGAAAACTCTACGTTTTCCTCCTCTCTACTTACTTCAACCTCATCAGACTCGGATTCGCTAGAAGAAGACGATGATTCCGACGAGCAATGGCTCTGCAAACTCTTGAGGAACTCCCGCAAGCCATCCGTGAGACCACCTAGGCCGATGGAGGTCAAAAAGTTGATGGCGAAGCGTGTGCTCTTGGGGTTATCTCGCGGGAAGATGCCGGCCACACTTCCTCGCATCTGCTCGTCGTCTAGGCGCTCCTTCAGCTTGAGCAATCCCAGGTGATCCGCGAGCTCCTGGAAGAGGATCTTGATGAAGATGCGAGACGACGACGTCGTCGCCTCCTCGCTCAAGCAGATGTACCCGAGACTCGTCCACGGGAGAGCGTCCGTTGCTAGCAAATGCGCGAAGAACCTCGCCACGTTCCTGAGCTTGTTGGTCTCTAGCCTGTGGATTGATGCGTACTGGCCGAGGAAGCACTCGCCAAATTGCTGCTGGAACTTCTGGTTGATCATGGAAAGCCTCTGTCCCAAAAGCCCGTAATATCTCTGGTACGTCCGCTCTTGGCAGCAGCATTCCAGAAGCATGATACATACCTCTTTCTCCTGGCCTGGTTCCATCTCCATCTTTAGCAGCTTGTGCCCAGACTCTTCAAACCCGACGCTGGACATGATCGTCAGATAGATGGTCCGCCTGAGATTCACCAGATCTATTTCAGTGACGTCTTGAATGCCCTGCGAAGGATCTTCTTCCTCTTCTTCTTCGTCTTCACCATTGTCGGGATCATTCGGCTCCGAGCCATTCTTTTCCTGCTTTCCAAGAATGCTACTCTTGATGGCCTCGTATTTCTTTTCGTTCTCCAAGTAATCCGGATCCTCAGAAAATATGTCAAGGCCGCTCTCTGGATCCAGGTCCTTGTCCAGGAGCGAGATCTGGTGCGTCTCCTGGTCACCTTCCACGACAAGATCCACCTCTCGCATGATCGCTGGATGCCCCTGGAAGTTGGACTTGCGCAGAGCAAAGACGTCCTCGATCATAAACTGGACACGCTTGTCGATCTCTCCCTCGTGAAGCACAGCTCGGAGCCGATCGAAGACCATCTGGAAGCACTTGGGCGATGTCCCCAGCAGATACGCTCCACATCCCTTGAGGAATCCCACAGCCACCTCCACACTATCATCCGTTGGAGTCTCCAGCAGCAGCATGAGCAGCTCCAACGCAATCACCTCGTGCGCGACGCGTTGATTCACCAGGTGCGCCAGGAGCTTCGTAAAAGAGAGCAAAACAGGCTTGTCATTCCTCTTGAAGACCCTGCGGAACTGGAGGATGATTCTCGTCAGCAGCAGCCCTCCGAGAGCTGGAAACCTGGAGTTGATCACCGCGACTAGCCCGGCAAAGACGTGCGTCAAGGCCGGAGATGCCATCTGCGACTTCATGCACGACCTCGCGAACAATCCCCTGCCCCGGACCAAGTTCTCAGCGATCAGCTCCCTGGCGATGTCTTCCACGTTGGAAGCGCTCACCTTGTTCATGAGACCATTGATGCTCTTGCGCAGAGCCTCCCAGGCCATCCTCTGGTATGTCTTTCACGTCGCCCATCATCTGGGCGAGCTTGGAGGGAGGAATCTAAGTCCCTCCACACCGTCCCAAATCCTTGTCTTCTCCTTGCCTAGCCTCATTCTCTCGGGCTCTGGAAGCTCTACCTGTGCGGCCCTCATCTGCGGCGATGGCGCCGTAGCTTAGATGGCCGCCATACCTGTACACTGGAGACCATGGTGGCATCGCCACCGCCGCGGCCATAGCGTGTAAACCCTAAAACCTTTCTACAAAGAAGAATATTTTAGGGCTGACGGTAATGGCGATAGCAAGCGTGTGGTATGAAGCAGGGAATCGTCGCCCAAGGGTTTAAGCGACTGGTGGACAAAAACCCTCCTTCCTTTCTACAGCGGAAAAGAGAGGGCATTTTTTTCTCCTTGTTCCTCCCATTCTTTGCTCCGGTGCTCCACGATGGCGATGGAGATTGCCGCCACCGCCTCAAGAGGGCTACTCCAGTCCACCACCACAAGCAGCACCGGCAGCATTAGCGGTAGCAGTAGAGTTTTGGCTAGATTCTCCGAGGAGAAGCGGCTGATTGTCGACAAGCTCGAGCTTGGAGCGCTCCGGAAGCGATCGCTGCATCTCAATTTGCGTAGGATTGCTCCGGCGCCGCGATGCCGAGTTGCCACAACCGAGGAATCAGTCCAAGGTGAGGAAGAACTTCTATTCTCTAGAGGATTTTCATCTCATAGTCTTTTCTTGTTTCCATCTAGTCAAGGACGCTCCAAAGAAGCTGGACTTGAGGACTGATATAAGGAACCTCGCCATCATCGCTCATGTCGATCACGGCAAGACCACGCTGGTGGATGGAATGCTTCGACAATCCAAGGTAGAGCAGTTCGTTTTCTTTTCTTTCTTTTGCATATGGTTCTCCTTGCTCGAGTGAAGGTTTTCCGGGACAACCAAACAGTCCAAGAGCGAATCATGGATTCCAATGATTTGGAAAGAGAGCGAGGGATTACAATTCTCAGCAAGAACACGGCCATCACGTACAAGGGGACGAAGATCAATATCATCGACACACCGGGTCACTCGGACTTTGGAGGAGAAGTGGAGCGTGTTCTTAACATGGTTGACGGTGTTCTTCTCCTCGTAAGAACTCTCTCTTCCATGCCAACTTGGAAGAAATCTAGAAACTTTGTCTCAAAGTTCTTTGTTTCTTTTAGGTGGACGCTGTGGAAGGTCCCATGCCACAAACGAGATTTGTTCTCAAGAAAGCTCTGGCGCTTGGCCATAGAGTTATTGTTGTTGTCAACAAGGTGGACAGGCCAGCAGCTCGGCCGGACTACGTTATCAACATGACTTTCGAGCTGTTCTTGGAGCTCGAGGCTTCTGACGAGCAAGTAAGCTCTCGGAGTGCAATGCTGTTTCCAATGGTTTCTTTGCTTTACAGTGTGACTTTCAAGTAATCTATGCGAGTGGCCTCAAAGGACAAGCTGGCCTGGAACCAGATGCTCTTGGGAACGACCTGGAGCCTCTTTTCGAGGCTGTTCTTCGTTGCATTCCTGAGCCCCGCGTGCAAATAGATGCCCCTCTCCAAATGCTTGTAAGTTCCTTTCCAAATGTTCTGTCGATATGGTTTGATTGTTTGATCGTCTCATGCTCCTCAGGTAACCAACTTGGATTATGACGAGCACAAGGGACGCATTGGCATTGGAAGAGTGAACGCTGGCACATTAAGCAAGGGCGAAGTCAAGGTATGTGATAGCTTTGGTGCTGTGCTTCTCTTTTGGAAGAAATCCCTCACTTCTTTCTCAGATTTGTAAGCCGGATGAAGCTGACAGGGTTGGCAAAGTGAGCGAGATCTTTGTTTTTGAGAACTTTGCGAAAGTTCCAGCCGTTAAAGTCGTGGCTGGTGATATATGCGCTTTTGCTGGGATCAACGATGTTATGGCAAGTAGCTTCACCGACTTAGAGTGCGAGAGATTGACGTTTCTTTCTTACTCCACAGATTGGAGAAACGGTGGCAGACAAGGCAAATGGCGTACCACTTCCTTCCATTAAAGTAGAGGAGCCCACGGTGAAGATGTCTTTTTCTGTGAACACTTCACCATTTTCCGGGCAAGAGGTTGTAAACTACTTTCACTTGCTTTCGTGGTTGTGAGTTGATTTATTTTTCTTGTCTTGTTTGCAGGGAAAGTTCGTTACCAGTAGGAATTTACGTGATCGGCTCTATCGCGAGCTTGAGAGAAACCTTGCGATGAAAGTAGAAGACGGCGAGACTGCTGAGACATTCATTGTCAGTGGAAGAGGCACACTTCACATAACAATTTTGATCGAAAACATGTAAGTTCTTGCTTTGTTTTTCATATTTCTCATTCTTGTCGTGCAGGAGGAGAGAGGGGTACGAGTTCATGGTTGGTCCTCCCAGAGTAATCCATAAAGTGCTGAACGGAAAGAAACTCGAGCCTTACGAGGTACTTTGTTCTTCGGAAAAAATTCTTTCTGCTACTTACGAGCAAAGCACAAAAACTTGCACAGGATGCTATTGTTGAAGTTCCCGAGCAGTACGTTGGAGCCGCAGTTGATCTTCTCGGCAAACGCCGTGGACAAATGCTCGACATGCAAGCCTCGGAGTAAGTGAAGTAGTTTAAAGCTTAAGTTTAAAGCTTACTAGTTCTCTGTTTGGTTCTCCAGACTTGGAAACACCATCTTAAAGTATAGGCTCCCGACCAGAGGCCTCTTGGGGATCCGAAACTCCCTCCTCTCCGCGAGCCGAGGCACGGCCATCCTCAACACTGTTTTCCACGGCTACGAAGAATTCGTTGGTGATATTAGCACCAGGGAACAGGGATCGCTGGTAAGCACCAGAATACATGTTCCAAAGAAAAGTAGGAGGAACAATTCAACTTTTTTTGCTAGCTAGTTCTTCCAGGCTTTTGTCAGCGAAGTCACCTCACTCCCACTGTGTTTCTTGCAGGTGGCCTTTGAGACTGGGCAAACAACATCCTACGCTCTTTGTAGCTGTCAAGAGCGAGGACAACTCTTTCTGGGTCCTGGTGTGGAAGTCTACAAAGGACAGATTGTTGGCATCCACCAGAGGCCAGGCGACCTCTCCATCAATGTCTGCAAGAAGAAAGCAGCCACCAATATCCGGTCCAACAAGGAGCAAACTGGTATTGTCCGATGTCCTCTTTGTATCCCTTTGTACTTCATCATCTTTTTGACTCGTTCTTCTTTCCCAACTTTTTTCTTTCTCGCAGTTGTTCTGGATGCACCACAAGACTTTAGCCTGGACGACTGCGTCGAGTACATTGAAGAGGACGAGCTGGTTGAAGTAACTCCAGTGAGCGTGAGGATGTGCAAAAATCCCCGGATGGCCAGGCGAGGTGGGCGATGATTTCCAGATAGGATTGATCGATTGCTAGAGTTTGCGACTTCGTTCTACGAGGGAGGTACGACTCGTGCTAAGTTTCAAGTGTATAGCATTCATTCCAGGCCCAGGATAGGACCTCCGGAAAGAACACTTGTAAGCTATATCTGTAAAGACGAGAAAGATCGATCGTAAAGATTCATGACGAGAAATTTAATGGGCTTATCGAGCGAGTGTTGGATCAGGTCTGTCTTTCATAGAAAAACGAGCTCTCTTTTTTTTCTCTCTGCGAACCAAATTGACAGGCAAGAGTTTTCAGTCTTGATTGATGGTGTTTTCCTTTAAATTTTCTTCTTTCTCTCCTTGCCGCCTGCTCTTGCCTGCCAGTGGATGATGGATTGAATTTATGGCAGTCATGAATTATCCATGGTTTTTGGCTATGGTTTCTTCTGCTAGCTCTTTCATCCAATCTTTGCAACTTGCATCGCTTGCTCCCCAGCGACGCTGCCACCACAAGTTCGCATTTAAAGTCTCCCATATGTGGAGCTGCCTGGCCGGCCCGGGAAAAGCAACGATCCAAAGGACCAATTCCATCGTTTCACTCGCAATCACAGCCTCGGGGATGGAGAGCCGCAAATTCGATGGCGACTTCTTGTTAGTCACTCGATCCATGGTCTCCATTAAACAAAGCGCTCTCGCGAGGATTCATGAACTGGCGACCCGTGAAAACCATGGGAAGTCCATCGCCATTCTTTCTCACGCCACACTTGGAGGGATATATTATCAATCGACTGGAGAGGGGAATTGCGAGATCTCGGCCATCACGGGGTCGCGATTTTGGGTGTGTGGTCGCTGCCGCCAGCGATCGCTTTTACTAGTGTGGAGGCGGAGAGTGACTCCCACGTGATGGTGGTGGCCCGGCGCTCTTCCTCTCTGGCCGGGCATTCCCTTTCCCTTCACTATAAAAACCCAGCTGGGCACTGCCAATTCCACTCCATCATTTGCTACGGCCACAATCTCCTCGCATTCCATCCGTAGAGTCGATCAATCGATCCAATTTCATCCCCATTCCATCGATAGCAGGGGATTTAGGGTTCTTCCAAGATTTTAAATTTCGCGGGATCTTGGCAAGAGAGCGAAGAGAGAAATGCCGATTTTGGGAGCCAAGATGCAGCGTCTCGTCTCCAAGATCAAGCCCCACAACCTGGATTTCACCGCCCATCACCACGATCTCGATCTGGACGACGATGGCGACCTGGATCAGCCGCCGCGGGACGTTCCAAAGGGATGCTTGGCTGTCTACGTGGGCTCGAGCGCCAGCGGCGGCGACAGGCAGCGCTTCGTTGTATCCACTCAGCTCCTCAGCAATCGATTGTTCCGGGCGCTGCTGGATCGCGCGGCCGAGGAGTATGGATTCGAATCGCCGGGGGCTCTCACCATTCCTTGCGAGGCCGTGCTCTTTGAGCACTTCATCTGGTTGCTGGGAAGGAACGATCCCGCCGCTGCCAGGATCGAGGTGGACGAGCTTCTCAATTTCTACAGCTCGTGATAGATCATCAAGGAATTCGTTCTCATCGTTTTGGCGGTCGCGAGGCGAGGATAGAATGCTTTCGAAGGAATTCAAGAGCTCTTGTGAGGCGTGCTTCCATGGTCGCCCTCTTTGTCACTTGATCGGTATCTATCATCTCCAAAAATCGCCTATTTTCCGGGCTTGTGTTTCAAGAACAAGATAAGAAATCGGTTTGTCACACTAGTGTTTGATTCAATTGCAAATAACAATCACTATACTTTCATGTTCACAAAAATTTGGGAAGAATCATAATGATCAATCACCCTCTCATGATCGATCGCTTGCAACTTTAAGAAAATCGAAGATCTTTTGTTTGGAGCTGAGATTGGTGTTGGATCAGCTCTTTTCTATTCCGTTGTGCACATGATCACGATCTTGCCAGAGATCCATCCCATTTTCTCTCAAGAATTTTCTATCGTAGTGTCAGCTTCTCATGCCAACTTCACGCGCAATCTAGCTTGGCTAGTAGCTAGCTCCACGTTTCGATCCAAAAAAATAAACAACGATCCAAAGAACTAGAAACTATCGTTATTCCCCGAGAGAATGGATCCAAAAATTCAACACGCCGCTATAACTAGATCACACGCTGCCAACTGCGAAGAACACATTGAAATCCCAAAACCGGGATCTAAACAATTCAATGAAGTTGGCAGCCAACGCAAGTTGGATTGGATCTTTTCCCTCCGCCGCAAGATAGAAAAATCCCCAAATTTTGTAATGGAAGAACATCACTGTTCTCGACATAGTTTTCAGTTTTCTATGGTTTTCTGCAAGCTCCAGAGCATGGCAGTTAGGTTGGTGCCAAAGGTTGACGCTGGAAAGCAAAGTTTCCACATGGGAAGCGTACGAATCCATGTCGTTTGCTCGTAATTTATAAGCCTGGTTTGGAAGTTCCTTCTTTTTCTGGTGGTGCCATTGCTCATGGATGGTGGATCGTTCGTTTGCGCATTAAATTCTCTACTGCCATGGAGGAAAAAAGCTTGCTAGAACCGCAAACTTCCACCCAAATTCGCTACTGCCATGGAGGAAAAAGCTTGCTAACTTCCACACAGCCAAAGAGATTCCACCAGTATGCTTTAAATGCCTTTGATTGATTGTGTGTATAGTAGAGATTTTATATACATTTGCTTTAGATCCAGGCTCTTGTTTGTGATCAAAACTAGAGAGGAAATTGGTCGATCGAGATCCAGCCACGCATGATTGGTGGCTTTTCGTTTTCCCCTCTTCCAGCACTTGGGGCGCCGCAATTTCTTCGACCAGCTCAATCGCCCCAGTGGAGGATCGATCATCCTTGGAGACCCCAAGAGAAAAGATGAAAATTTGAGGAACCTCGAGCTAGATCAATCGATCTTGGATACCACTTGTATAAACCACCTCTTCCGTGGATCCCTTCACGAGTAGAAGGCCATGAGATCGTTCACCTCGAGCATCGCAGCGGCGGGATCGTCGTTGCTGAGAAGCCATAGAAAGTGCTCAAACAGGACTGGATCGCATGGGATCTCGAGAGCTCCGGAGTTCCTGTATCCATACTCCTCCGCCGCCCTCTGGAGAAGAACTCCAAACACTGGATTCGTGAGGAGGTGCGTGCCAACCACGAATCTCCTCCTCTTCTTCTCGGAGCTCCCGACAATCACCGCCATACACCCCTTTGGAACATCGGCCGGGATGGAGAAATCGGCATCTTCGTCGCTGTCGTAGCAGCATGACCCATGGCTGCTCATGCTGCTCGCGCTGCTGCTAGACGAGCTAGATCTCTCGAGACTGAGTCCCTTCTTGGAGGCCGATCGAAAGAAGCTGCCAATCTTCGCAAGAACCGCCATTCTTCACGATTGAATTGCAGAGAATTTGGAGAGAGCGACTTATAGATGAGAAGCTCTTGGCTTAAAGTGAGCTCTGGAGGCGATGGAAAAGATGGATGGTGTTTTGGGGCAGCGAGGAGGCGGCCCTATATACTCCCGCGACTGTTACCACAGTTAACCCAATCCAGATAAAGAAAGAAAGAAGAGATTATCTTATAATTTCCTCTCCGTCTATCTATCCCGCGCGATGGATCACTCAAGAACACACCGAAATGCCAATCAATCAATCACAGCGCGACCAGCGAATTGTAACAGTGGTTGGGGCGCAGCTCCAAAGCACAAGGACTGGCGCTGCCTCGAATGCTTGAGTGCTCCTGTCCGGGGCCTGGAGCTTATGTATGCCAGCGGCGGAACAGAGCACAGTGGGAGCTTTCAATTTTGCTAGTGGGCGATCGGGATTTCTTGGTGGGCAGGCGCATTTGACCCGCGCAAAGCGACCCATCTCGGCCGATTGCGCAATTCCGGTTCGCGCCGGTGTGTCTTTCAGGTTCTTCCCACCCAAAGAGACAATGTGGAAAGAGACGCAGCGTACGGTGAGAAGTTCCACATGACGTGAAAGAATTGTTTATAGGAATGCCCCGCGGTGGAAAACAGCTTCTCGGGAAGAAGGAAAGGAAGCCAAATTTCCAGCTATGCAAAGTTTATGATCATCACATGAGCTTTTGTCAACTCCTCTCACATTCACAGGGAAGTTTTACCAGCGCGGTCGTTCTTGGCACACCTGCGGGGCCTTTTTGATCTTGGCACACCCAAATGTCACGCTTTTGCGGGGCCTTTTTGATCTGCGAGAATATTTTGTTATTGGGACCTCAAACAAAGACTTATGTTATATCGAATCGAAGACTTTGGAGAGAACTCTGATATCTAATCCGGATGACATACTTATCCTTTCACAGCTCCAACCTTCCCGAGGAGCGAATGTCACGCACTGACCAAGTTGAGCACGGCCGAAACCAGATGCAGTGAGCCAGTGACGCAGACAACGCTTCCAGGATCCAAATCCGCAGCTTTCCTGGCAGTCGCTAGAGCATCTACGACTGACTTGGAGATTTCCACGGCGATCTCAGGCTTGACTTTACTCCATGCTCCGGCAAGAGCTTCTGTAGTGGCAGACCTCACACTGCTTCCAGCCACGTCCGCAGTAGTGACGACTACCAGGGTTGGTCTTGCATCTGGACAAAAGTCTTAGATAAAGAAGAGAATAACTAGAAACTTGGCTGACCATCGGAGAACGCAGACGCGAATTTCAAGTGATCTTTGTCCAAAGCCATTGCGGTCACCAGTATGAGAGGTCGCGAGGGAAATGCAGTTTTCAAGGTGGTTCCGAGTGCTGCTGCTGATCCGGGAGTATGTGCTGCATGGAAGAAATACCATCTCAAGTTCGGATTTGCGAGGAGTCTTTCTTACCTCCATCTAATATGACCCTCGCTGAAGTAAACCCGAGGCTCTTTACTTGTTCATGGGTGAGAATCTGGAACCTCCCCAATATATTTGTTTGCTCCAGGCCCGTTTGAAACGCCGCGTCTGGGATACGCCAGCCTACATATTCAACAAGTAAGAAAATGAAAATGTCGTGAATAAATACCACCTTCCACTCGAAGGGACAGTGCAGCACAGACTGCTGTTAACGCGTTGTCCACTTGATGAGAACCAAACATACGCATTCTACAATTGTCTAAGAATAAATTCTGCAGATGCCAGAGTTAAAGCTGCTGAGGACACTCGAACAAAAACAAAGAAGAAAGAACGCATGAAAAGAAGATTACCTCGCCTGCACATCGTATACGCATATCGCAAACTTGAAAGCAATCACTTTCATCCGTTCGAATGCTTTTGATAATTCCATGTACGTTCTTCCCAAAGGCACTAAAGACGGGAGCATTCTTTGCCGATGCCTGTGTCCTTATGATACTCTCAGCAACAGGGCTCACCTGACGACTAAGAACAACCTGATAGCAAAATCTTAGCGTTTAAGATACGTGACAAAAAAAACATACCGGACGTCTTTCCTTGATAATCCCTGCTTTCGCTAAAACGACGCTTTCTAGACTTCCGCCCAACGCTTCCAGATGTTCTTCGCCAATTGAAACAATGACGGACGCTGCAAGGCCTTCCGAATCAATCACATTCGTAGCGTCCCTTGCGCCACCAAGACCTGCCTAAGAACTTAAGAAAGAACAGATTAAGAAAAAAAAAGAAACTGTGACTAACCTCAACAACGGCAATGTCTACACTCTCTTGTGCAAAGTACTTGAATGCCAAGGCTGTAAAAACCTGCAAATGGACGATGGAACCAACAGTGAATCACTTGAGAAAAAAAGAGAGAAAAAGCCATGCCTCACCTTAGCACGCATCTCACCTCGAAATGAGTAAGCGTATGGTTTTCAGCTTCAATTACTTTCAGCAATGATTCACGAACACCCCAAAACAAATCATCCAATCCATTTGTCGAGATTGGTTTTCCCACGCAGATTCTCTCGTGAATGCTCCTCAAATGCGGGCTGCGAAAAACCGCATGAGCTTGATCGTTTTACATCGAAAAACTTACCTCGTATAAGTTCCCACGGAGAACCCAGCAGCACGCAAAATGCTGCTGAGAAACGCAACAGTCGATCCCTTTCCTTTGGTACCAGCGACGTGCACTACCTGAAACATGCCCCGTATTGGATCGAGAGACGCCAATCCATCGCACTTACTGGAAATTTCGAGAGAGGATTCCCGAGGCTAGAAACCAGGCGGCGCATTCTCCCAAGATCAAACCCCTTGCTCGTGTCTGTGCCTGCGTCCTTCGGCACGCCCAGCCGCTCGAGATCGCTCAGCTGCTGGAGGAATCGCAGCGCCCCGCCCTCCGCCATCGCTGGAGCGCTCTAAAACCCTAAAAGATATTCCAACGGGATAGTTTTTAAAAAGGTAGGGCTGACAAGGACGCTGACTCCGCATTAAACGAGAGCTTACGTGGGCCAATGGAATTTGAGCTCTCGGGTTTGAATGCGGCGAACAGGGGTGTTGGGAGGCAGGCTCTGGAGGCCGGCCTGGATCATTTGGGCGATGATTGGGTACTCGCATAGTACGGTTCCGTCGATTTAATGCGAAAGCTTTTGATTGATTCATTCATCGCTGTCGCTGGCGCTGGGCAACTGCGGTGCTCGTGATATCGGTTGAAAATTTTCAATGAGGACCAAAACGACAAGCGCTGGACTGGACGATCCAATCGCGTGCCGCTGCCACTGACGGGATCAATCAATTCGGCTGCTGCGAGCGAGCTACAACGATCAAAGGATTCATTGCGATCCAGAGCAGGCCTCAGAAGACAAATGTGCGCAGAGAAAAGGGATTGATTGATTGAATACAACGATCATCAATCAATCGGCTAGAGGGCTTCGCAGTGACCACTTGGTGGGAGAGAGACAAGGAGAGGTTTTTATGATCTTCACATGGCAATCGAAGCGCTGGTTGTCTAGTGGACCAGGATGAAACGACACAAACTTACAACTCACACACAACGAACAACTGGAAAATTTTCCAGAAAAGGAAGAAAAGGTTGGAGCGGGAGAAAACCGATTAAACCGTCACAAACAAAGTTACCTTCCTCGATTCATCCCAATCGATCGTGACAAACTGATCATCACTGCTGCTTGGGAATTGGATCGAATTCTGGTGAAACTTTGCTGTTTCGCAACGGCGAGGAATGGAACGCACCCCGAAGCTTTGGATTCCGTTCTCTTTCTTTATCTCTCTTTTCTCTCGCATCCATCACTGCCATGTTTGCTCGTCAGTGATCTCACAGCTCACTTGCTAAAGATCAAGTGTCATGTGTGTGTGTGTGTTGGTGGCGGTCTCAAGTTTGCGTAGTGGACACTATACTGTATAGACTTGTGTGTGTGCTGTTCGAGGACTTTGTCCGTGGAAGACAAAGCACAGCACAAACCAACATGTAAATTTGCCCAGGCCTGGCAATCGCAAGAACCGAGATTGCCCATAAGTCGTCACGTTGGTGATGACACCACCATATACCGTAGAAACAGTGCCGAAACACTAAACAATGGCCTAGGAAACGAGTTCCCGAGTAGAAAACTCTAGTTTCTTTGGCACCTTGCTCATTAAAATCGACTTCTCAAGTAGAGAAACCATATTCTATCAAGCAAATGTTGGCTTGACTGGTATCCAGCAAGCCCGATTCAATGCCCGGCAGTGGCAGGGCCAAAGATTGGGCCACTCCAAATGCGGCGAGACAAAGCTCTTTCAATCCATCCATCCATTTGAGCTGGGCCAGAGTGTAGTGTACTGCGCCAGTCCGTCCGAGCTGGAGGAAGAACACACAGCGATCACGCCGCCCAGTTGGGTGGTGTGATGGATCCATCGCATCAATCCATCCATCAAAAGAATCTCCCTCAACCTCTTGCAAGGATTATAAAAAAGTAGAGCGCGCAAAAAAAAAAGCATGGAGAGGCCTTTCGTTGGATTTTTGGGGGAGAGCGATGGATCGAACAGGTGAGTTCGATTAGAAAACTAGGGCGGAGGTCTGACCGGTACGAAACGACCACGGCCTGGCGCCCGGAAGCATGTGGGCGCCCATGTGAGGCCCGGCTTGTCCGATTCCACTGCTCGCAACTGCTGGTCTTTAATTTTTTTCCCTGACACTGCCACTCCAATTTGGATCCATCGTATATAAAATCCCCAGCCCTCCCCCGGAATCCCCAAATCCAAGCAAAGCAAGCAAGCAAGGCAAGGAGAAGCAAGCAGCATTGTGTTCTATAGATCTATCTATCTCTCTATCTTCCTCTCTCAATCGAGAGCGACGATATATCAATCACACTAGCAAAGCCCAAGAGCAAGAAGAACTCTCCATCCATCTCTAGCTACATCCATGGCTTTTCTGGCAAGGATTGGAAGTCTGCTCAAGTCCGCCTCGATCAAGAAGAGATCTGGGCGCAGCCTGGATCGCTCCTCCAGCAACAGCAGCTGCTCCTCGCTCGGCTCCTCCGCTTCCGCGGCCTGGGACTGCTGCTACGACAGCGATCTCGACGTGGACCAGGCCCCCGATTCGTGCTCCTGCGCCATCCCCGCCGACGTTCCAAAGGGATGCATGGCGGTCATTGTCGGGAGCTGCGAGAAGAAGAGGAGGAGGTTCGTGGTTGGCACGCATCTCCTCTCGAATCCGGTGTTTGGGGTCCTGCTACAGCGCGCGGCCGAGGAGTACGGGTACGAGAACTCGGGTGCTCTCGCGATTCCGTGTGATCCCGTCCTGTTTGAGCACTTTCTATGGCTGCTCAACAACAACGATCCCGCTGCCGCCATGCTTGAGGTGAACGAGCTCCTGGCTTTCTACGCGTCATGAGCGAGCATCTTCATCCAAGAGAGCACTACTGGGATTCATCACGATCGATCCATCCAGATCCAGAGCAAAGAGTGCCCCAGCTCGGCTCGGCAAGGAAGAAGAGACTGAAAGAGGAGCACGAGCACGGGCTTCATTTGAAGAGTCTACAGCTTGTTCGAGAGCACATTTTGGGCTCTAGATCTGGTGCTGCTCCACCGAAATTGCGCATTGCAATTCGTGACAGCGGCGCGACTGTGATCGATCGTATCAATTGTTTTCTAGCTCACACACACATAAGAATACTACTAGTATTACAATACATTTCCTTGTCATTTCAGTCAAAGATTTACTGAGGTCCATGTTGAAGAGCTAAAATGACATTTGAACATGTTCACTGTTGTTTTGAAGTGGTAGATTTTAGTAGAGTTTGAAGTGCCCAAGATTTCAGTGCCTCAAAGCTGGGGTCCGGGCAGTTGGGCTCACTGACCACCCAAAAAATCCGCCCTCCACAAGTTCATCTTGTGGTTCACCTTCTGATTTCAGTTTCTGCCTTCTGCTGCTGCATGCAACAGCAGCTGCTGCCTTATCAACCAGCATCTCCCATCAATTCTCGTCCCAGGCCTGGCTTCAATTCCCACTTTCTGTGTGTACTCGTACTTGGGATATAGAATGGAATAGATCGAAAATCCATATAGCGAAATATGACCCGCTGTTCTTCCTCCAGCCCCATGTCGCCTTATTCTCCCAGGACGTGACGGACGGAGTAAGGTACTCTGGACTTCTTCTTTTCTCTCTGGTGGCTACGTCTCCACAGATATAATGCGCTCCACTCCACCTCGAGCTCGCTCGATCTATGCCACAGAAACAGAAGCGATGAAATTGCAGCCACGAAAAATTACTGCATACGGATCAAACCTGTCGCCGCCAACAGTAACCGAACCCCAAACCGCTGCACAAGCCAACAAAAGGTACGACGGAAAAAGTTGGCCTAGATGGAAACACTTTGTAGACATTGCATGGCCAACCCCACATATATTAGCTGGCCACACTCCTTGTTATTAAATTTCTCCTTTACTTTGCCTTTTTCTGGCTATTTGTCTTTGGTTCTTTCGGTTGTGCCGGCTTCGAGCAATGTGGCGTGAGATCATCATTCCAATTCCGTGCTGAGATCACCTCCATTTTGATCTATGATTCTGCTTTGGCCCGGGCAACTTTTTTGTTTATATGGTGTCATCAAAAAGCGAGAAAAAAAGAATCCATCCAGGTGTGCTTCACATCGCGGTCACTGATTTTCACTCCAGTCGAGCAGTATATCGGGTCCTTGGTATCCATCCCTAGGACACACGCATTTCTTGTATAGAGATCATAGAAGATCAGTCAGTCACTAGCAATGACGATCCTTTCCACCAAGTTGAGAAGATTGCTACTCTGCGCCGCCAGCAAAGCCCGCGCTCTCTCCCCCTCCTCGATTCGCATCGCCTCCTTCTTCAGCCCCTCCAGATCAGACTCCTCCCGATCAAACAGCTCCAGGTGCGACGAATCCGATGGCTTCTCCGATCGAGACGACGGCGACGGCGACGCGGAGATCCAAGAGAAGTATCTCGCGGATGTCCCGCAGGGCTGCTTTGCTGTATACGTGGGCCGCGACCGGCAGCGCTTCGTGGTCGGGACGTGCTTGCTGCGCGATCCCCTGTTTAGGGTTCTTCTGGACAAGGCCGCGGACGAGTATGGCTTGGATCGCCAGGGCGCGCTGCTCATCCCCTGCGAGGCTGTGCTCTTCGATCACATTTGCTGGCTGCTGGGCAACAATGATCCGGCGGCGGCGAGCCTGGAGATGGAGGAGCTCCTCGATTTCTACTCCATCTGATTTGGATCAACGCTTCCTTTTGTCCTTTGATTTGCTGACACTAGCTCTCCCCATTCTTTTGTATCAACTGGTATATAATCTAAGATTGTGAGCGTGGTTGACGCACCACCAGATGGATCATGGATTCCACCACACGTCGCGATCCAGCGCGAAGCAATGCGAGCTTGTGGAAGATTCTGGGACGAAATCCACCGTTTCAAACAAGACATTTCCAGGGAACCTTTTAGATTCTTCCCTTGCAGAGTGATTGATTGCGCGAGCACAAAACAAAACTTGTGCTTCTATCACGATCAATCAATCAATCAGTCGTCGTGAGATGGAGGAGAGCCGCCTTAAACAACGTTGTATTCTACAATTTCCCCTTGTGGGGCATTTTTTCTATGGTTAACCGCTCCTATATATCGTTGAAAAATCGCACCGAAACCCATAGTGCCCCGCACATGATCAAGTTTGACATTTATTTTGTCATGCGTTGTTTTTCCAGAGAGCCAAGCAAACCTAGCGTGCAAAACTTCTTAGATCCCGCAAAGCGGCATTTGCACTCGGCTTGTTTCATCCCCGATTTGGTCATTCAGAGTAAAAACATCCAAGAAACACTGAACCCTCTGGTCTGGCTCACTTGTCCCCCTGTGATATCTCCCATCAACTTTAGTTATTTCTACATTGTCTTGTTCTTCTCTCCTTTACGTTGCGTTTTGCCCCAAAAAGATTCCCCAACCTCCCATTCGCGGCGCGGCCGCGCGGCGGATCGAACCCCCGACCCCTTGACCCCGGTCAAAGCCCCGGTCAATCATTCAATCCCTTTTTATTTGTCCAACAAAACCGTGCGCACGGCAGGTACCCCCGGCGTACCGTACGGCGGGTTGGGCAGTTTCAGTTTCCCAGAGACAGCCACACGTGGCAGCACCAGATTTGCATCAGTAAATGCGGTGCCGTACCCGGCCGTAGCACGGAATCACGGGGAAACGCTTTGCGTCGCCCCGTACAAACGGCCGGCTCTGGGCCGTCGCGGCCCGGCAAAGCAATCGTGATCGTCCGATGGCATTCATTGGTCCGGTTAACGAACGGCCCAACCGACTGACCGTCCGTACGCACCGCGGCAGCGTACGGTCGAGCGCGCAGTTTGGTTTACCTACCTTTGTGTGAAAACAGTCATGTGGTGTCTGGAAGTAAAAATAAAAAAACCATGGCAGTGAAAGTCACAAGTGGAAGTAGTCACATGATGAAAGGATATTCGCTGCATTAGAAACTAGAGAGAGAGGATCTTCTCTGTGCTTAAAGTGTAAGTGATGTTTTATGTTGTTAGGTTTTTATATAACTGCTGAGTAGTTGGGGAAGAGTTCCTTCATCCCCTTGGTGTGGTGCCACTAGGTAGGGCAGAAAGAAAAAGGAAAAAAAATTGGGCATTGTTTTTGGGTTGTAGACTGGATCACTCACTACTCCACATTGTGAGAGGAGAGAGTCTCAGCTCCAAAACTCCATTCTAATCGCGAGCTCGTTTAAATACCCGCGGCGGCTTTCTTCTTTCCCTAACCGCCAACGCGTTCCTTGTGTTTGAGAAGATCATCAATCGAGCTCTGTGATAGTGCCTGTGTGTTCTCCTTTTTTTCTCTCTTTTCTGGCTGTGTGGTCGATCGAAGTGAAAGTGAGGAAATGGGCTGGATCTAGGACGCATTGGGTCTCTTGGGTTCCAATCCGATCCTCCTGGGTCGCGCTCCATCGCCAGATCTCCTCGCGCGCGGCAATGCATGTCCATGGCTGCAGTGGCGGTGCCACTCGCGGCAGCATCGCGCGCGGCCTCAAGAGGCTCAAGCTCCTCCAGCGCTTGAGATCCTCGCGGGTGTCGAGGGATCACTATTCCTCCAGCTCCGGGAGCAGTAGCCTCGGCTCAGATTGGCTCCAGCGCACGTCCAGCTCCTCCTGGGAGCTCTTCAGCGAGGAGGAGGGCAGCCACAACGATGGCTACGATCACCATAGCGACGACGAGGAGCTCTATCTCCCCAAGGACGTCCCCGAGGGGTTCCTCGCCGTCTACGTTGGCGAGGAGAGGAAGCGCTTCGTGGTGGATGCCCGGCATTTGAATCACCCCTGGTTTAAGATCTTGCTGGAGCGATCGGCGGAGGAGTTTGGCTTCGATCACAAGGGCGGCCTCACGCTCCCTTGCCGAGTCGTGGTGTTTGAGAGCCTCCTTGGTGTTCTTGAGCGTGGCGATACTCCCAGCTTGAAGCAGCTCGCCCAGATCGAAGAGCTCCTCGCGGTATAGGAGGGAGAGGTTCGTGCAAACCACCATTGATTGATCTCTTTCTCTTATTTCCTTTCTAGAATCTAGTGAGAAAGAAAAAAGAAAAGGCTGAGGAAGTGGTGCCATTGTCACTAAGAATGCGTGCGCGCCCTCCTCTCTCTCTCTCTTTCGCACAAAGTGTATGTAAAAGGGAGGAGAGTTTGAAGCTGGAATTTTCTTTCCTTCTTTTTTTTTCCCTTCCAGTGATCAATCGATCACCTCAATTCAATCAAACTTAGATCATGGGTCGCTTGTCACTTTCGATTCCATAGATGATCACCTCATGGTTTCTAGACGAGGACGAGTATATTCGGCTAGTTTGAGCGATTGTTGTGGGCCTCGGAGATTCCCCTGGAGTTTTTTTTTGTTTCGTATGAAACTAGGCTTTAGCGGCTTGCGGCTCGAATCCTGCCCGGCTCCTGTCGTACACAGACAATTTGGTACGTAAATTAATTTATCCAGATGGAAATAAAATGCTATCCTGTAATGATAAGCTATACATTTTATTACTTAATAATAAAAACACACTTCTCTTTTTCCTCTGATGTCATTGTTTGGAAAACTTCTGTGATACTTCGATTACTCGACTTCCATTTTTTGTCAAACTCTTAAAAATGTCATATTGTTATATCTTTAAAACGAGGGAATTGATACGATACGTGCAAAGACGTTATCTCACATATAGTTTTACGCAATAGAGAAACACCTCGTCGTATTGGAGCGATGGCATCTTAATTTTTACAAGCAATCCACTCACACTCAACAGCTTCTGGTGTTACAAACACCTCTCTTGATTTTGATTCTTCTCCCAGCAAAAACTCGGTATCAAAAATGCCTCTGTTTGAGCCGAATTCCAGAGAAGTTGCCGGGAGATTTGATTGCTTCGCATCGATCTTCTTCCTCTAGCCACTTTGGACGCTGAGGAGTGTCAAGCTGTGAGGCGGTGGAGGAGGACGAGGACCAGGAGGAGCAGCTGTTTCGCCGCTTGCAACTCTCCACAAGAGATCCTCAAACACCTCGACTTCGCAGTGGATAGTGAGCCCCCCATTGTGATGGTGTCCAAACTCCTCCTCCGCCTTCTCTAGCAGCTCACGGAAGAGTCGGTGATTCAAGTACTGCGTCTTGAGGAGGAACCGGAGGCGCTCCGGGCCAACGTAGACAGCCAGGTAGCCTTGCTGAACGTCCCTGGAGCGGCAACCCTCGGAGTCGGAGTCGTCATAAATTCTGGAGCTCGGAAAGCAGCGCCCCGGAAAGGAATGCGTCCTCTCCAGGGAGGCTAGCTTCTGGTATCTCTTGAAGCTGCTCCACACCTTTTGCACCTTCATCTTAGCGAGAAAAAGCGAGCTAAAAACCAGACCTTCGGAGGAGAAAAGGAGATAACCGACACAACTCGATCGGAGAGGAACCGTTTGTTTGATCCACTCTTTTCTCTCCTCTCCTCTCCTCTCCCAGAGAGCCGAGACGCGAGGAACAAACAGGCCTGATAAGCACGAAACGGCAGTGAGAAGAATAAAAAATATATATAGCGGAGACGAGCGTGGTGGGATCACCCAGCGTGGTGCCGGCTGCCTACACCACGCGAGCAGCTCCAAGAAAATATACACGCTACCTTATCTCGCGCAAAGTCAATGGCTCCTGCTCCAGAGAAAGCCGGCTCTTTTCAGCACTGTGTAGAGGCATTTCACCTCCGCAGAATCACCAGCGGTGTCATCCGAGAGCTCCGGACTCTTGCCTCAACGCAGATGGATAACGCTCACTTGTCCTCTTGCAGAGCTTTGATTCATTCTCTCCACCGCGGGGCCGCCTTGCCCCTGTAGAGAGTAAGTCAGCCGCGAATAATATCCAAAAGAGTGGAGGTCACCGTAAATACGTTGTTCATTGTGACTTGTCCAGATGAGCTCGGATATTTCTGATATTTGTTTCCCCCCGTCGGGCGCCGGAACGAAAGCGAACGGGGATTACTCTGCGACGAGCGGGTGGCGAAATGGAAATTCTCTTGCATTGACAGGCCGGTCACTGAGTCCAACTATAGCTGAAAGAACCAAAACGAAGAAGAAAAGTGGACAAAGAAAACTATTAAGTCTTGGCTTGTGTCTGTTTCATGCAGTGACTTTAGCGGGGTGGGAATCTCCGGGTCTATTCAGGTGCTCCACCTGGTACTAGCTGCACAAGAGTTTGCCAATGTGAGAAAGAATATAAAAGGGAAAACCTCTCTATAATGAGGAAAGACAAACTAAAGCTTACGATTGCAATGTTGTTCCCGTTGAGAAGAATTTGGTCCAGCTTGGTGATTCGTTTGCCATCGGGCGTGATCTCACTGCAAGAAGCCTGTTTAGATGAATGGAAACAATCCAAAGAAAAACAACTTTAAGCCACAAATCTTGCCCAAGCAAAGGCGGCAAAAGAACTAAAAAAGAAGAGAAACTTACTACTCGGTCACGTCTTCTAGAACCATATTGACGTAAACATCAAAGCCACGCAGCGTTCCAACGAGCTCCTTGTCGCCCTTCATGATTACCCAGATTTTGGAGCCAATGCATCGATCGATGAGCTCTACGGCAAGCGATGCGTCAAGCGATCGCGTCACTGGAATCTAAAGAGAATGCGAATGCGAGCGCTTACCCGATGGAAGGAGCTGCGATGGATTGTGCGCCATTGTGCCACGAGAAGAGGAAGCCCTAAACCTCGCGATGCCGAGGAATATCCGTGTTTGAGATAACCTAGATCGGGCGGGAAAACTCGAGGACAAGTGGCGGATCCAACGGCTACCTTAGAAAAGCTTCAAAGAGGGCGCGTCCTTTCTCAAGCTCGTCGACTCGAGAAGAGGAAAAACATTCGATCGATCGATTGTCCCATTCCAGCACCAATGCAGCAAATCCCTCCTCTACCGCGCAGCTCCAGCGCGAGATCGAGATGGACTTGCGCAAGAACATAGACAGGATCTCGTCGTCGCAACACAGGGTCAAGATCCTCACGCTCCTGGCGGTGTCCGGGACCGTGGCATTGATCATCATCGTGAGGAGGAACAACCAGGGGTCGCGGGGGCGCGTCAATAGCCCCGGATTTGGGAGCTCGTCGCCGAGCAGGAACAACCAGGTCTATTCCTCGCCGGATCCGCCCAGGAAGCAAAACATCTCGGCGCCGCGAGGGCACTCGGATCAGTCATGGAGCTTGCAATCGCTCTACCAGCGCAGCCGGCCAAGCCGCGGGCAGCGCGCAAAGGATTTCGCGCGCCGGGTCCGGCATCGATGCTACGTCCACCGCCTGGATTTCCTCTTCCTGGCGGCATTGATCGGTTTGGGCATTTACGCTTATGGATTTTCGGAGAGGAGGTACCAATCCCAATACAGTAGCTACAATCCACTCTACTACTACCAGCAGGAGCCGGATGGCTGGTTTTCCTAGCGAGGCCGAAGAGGTTTTTAGGGCTCCTCCTCTGGACTAATGTACACGTTAAGCTAATTAAAACTATGAGTTTAGTTAAGGGAAAACGTAGAATATTCCTTATCCCCCTAGGGGTTTTTGGCAATAGCGTTTTTCTTCTTTCTGGGAGAAAGGGCCATGGCCGCGGCACTTCCCGTCTTCGAAGGGCTTCGATGCGCCACGACGAGCAGCTCGGTGAGTTTTTAATCGGTCGATCGGCGTGCTTGCGGCTGAAAATCTCATTGTCTGGCGCCGAGTAGGCAAGGCTTGATGGCGTTTCGCTGGGAATTTCGCAGCCCCGGAGGCTGCGAGTGATGGCGAACAAGAGATCTGTAAAGACTAGGCAGGTAATGCGACTCGCATCCGAAAATGTGGCTCGATTGTGGACATTTTTCTATCTTTTTTTTTTTTGCTTTCTCAGATTATTTTGTCTGAGGATGTCGAGTTTCTCGGCAAGACGGGCGATCTCGTGAGCGTCCGGGCTGGGTATTTCCGGAATTTCTTGTTTCCGAAGGGCAAAGCAAAGATGGCAACACCGGAGTATCTAAAGTGAGTCCGTGTGCTTCTTTCTCACGGTGTATCGACTACTTTGGTGAATTCTTTTGTGTATAGGGAGCTCAAGCTTGAGGCCGAAAGAAAAGAGAACGAGAAGAGGAAAGTAAGTTGTAGTTTTCTGCCTCCCTCTTTGTGTTGAGTATGAATCTGATGGTGCTATCTCCAGTTGAGAGAGGATGCTGAAGCTCTGGCACGGGAACTGCAAAGACTAGGACCTCTCAGCGTGAAGCGTAAGCGTGGAATGGCCAGGCTGATTTTCGGAACGTGAGTTTCTCGGTTTGTTTGGACTTCATATCGAAGTTGTCTTGCTCCATGCAGTGTGACTACCCAGGATTTGGCCGACATTATTGAATACCGGACGAAGAAGTAAGCAGCACGTTTGTGATTGTCTTCTAATTCTCTATAGCACTCATTTCTTCTCCTTGCAGGAAAATCGACAAAAGGAACATGACCGTCCCCGAAATCCGAGAGATTGGAACGTACACAGCCGAGGTCAAGTTGCATCCCGAAGTAACAACTCAAGTAAAGATCACCGTGGTGGGAAGCTGAGGCAAAGTTGTGAACTTCTACATGTAAGTAGAAGCGACTTTGCAAGCGTTCTGACTGTGAGCCTGCAGCAAGGCAAAAGTGGGAGGCTCGAGCTGCGAGACACAGCTCGCCTGTTTCTTCGTTTATCTTGACGAAAAAGTCGGCTTTTCCTTACGACCCGACTTATAGGGCTGTGAAATTCCGAGTTGTGATGAACCAGCTATGGTGCTTCATCCGGGTTTGAATTGTTCGTGCTTTCCTACTACTTCATCGTCTTTCAGTGACTCAACTCAAGCTCCTGGCAGGTTCTCGCCGGCTCCGTCTTGTGTGTACGTGAATTCTCGTCCAGCAGTGAAGCAAGACAACCATAGCTCGAGTAGCTCGAGATTGGAAGCTGGCTTGGAGAGATATCCTCCTCTACTGAGGCAATGCGGGGCAGCAAGAGATCTCTCGCAAGCCAGGCGGCTGCACGTAGAGATCATAGAGAACGGGCTAGACAGGGAGAGGTTTCTGGGAAATCTCTTGGTACAGGCTTATGGAAAGTGTGGAAGTCTCCAAGACGCTCGGACAGTCTTCGATGGCATGGTGGACAGGAATCTCTACTCGTGGACACTGCTGATAGGAGCCTATGCCCAGAATGGGTTTCACAGGGAAGCACTGGACTTGTTCTGGGCGATGGACAGGCAGCCAGACAACGTTACGTTCTTGACAGTCCTGTGCTCTTGCTCGAGCTGCGGAGATGTTGTAGAAGGCCGAGCTCTTCACGAGAGGATACGATGCAGCAGATTTGAGCGAGACACGATGGTGGGAAACGCACTCATCAGCATGTATGGCAAGTGCGACAGCTTGGTCGACGCCAGAAGCGTTTTCGAGTCGATGGATTGGCGGCAGAGAAATGTGGTGTCGTGGAATGCAATGATCGCAGCGTATGCCCAGAACGGGCATAGCACTGAAGCTCTGGTTTTGTACTGGAGGATGAACTTACAGGGGCTGGGGACGGACCACGTTACGTTCGTCAGCGTTCTGGGTGCATGCTCTTCCTTGGCACAGGGCCGAGAGATTCACAACAGGGTGTTCTACTCAGGGCTGGATTCGTTTCAGTCGCTGGCCAATGCACTAGTGACGATGTACGCAAGGTTTGGGAGCGTTGGTGACGCGAAGAGGATGTTCCAGAGCTTACAGACGCGGGACGAGACATCGTGGAACGCAGTGATTCTAGCTCACTCTCAAAGCGGGGACTGGAGTGGTGCTCTTCGTATCTTCAAAGAGATGAAGTGTGACGTGAAGCCAAACTCCACCACTTACATCAACGTGATCTCTGGGTTCTCTACTCCAGAAGTGCTACCGGAAGGCAGGAAGATCCATGCTGAGATCGTCGCAAATGGTTTCGACACGGACTTGGTGGTGGCCACGGCACTTATCAACATGTATGGGAAGTGTGGAAGTTCGCATGAGGCGCGGGAAGTGTTTGACAAGATGAAGAAGCGAGACATGGTCTCGTGGAACGTGATGATCGGGTGTTACGTCCTGAACGGGGACTTTCATGAGGCACTTGAACTTTATCAGAAGCTGGACATGGAAGGATTCAAGCGGACCAAAGCAACGTTCGTGAGCATTCTCGGCGCGTGCTCTAGCGTGAAAGCTCTAGCTCAAGGCAGGCTCGTTCATTCCCACATACTCGAGAGAGGCTTGGATTCGGAGGTTGCTGTGGCTACTGCTCTGGTAAACATGTACGCGAAGTGTGGGAGCCTGGAGGAGGCGAGGAAAGTTTTCAACGCCATGAAGAACAGGGACGCGGTTGCCTGGAGCACGCTGATAGGGGCATATGCAAGCAATGGATATGGGAAGGATGCTCGCAGTCTCTACGAGGGAATGGTCAGGGAGGAACTCAAGCCGGACAATGTCACCTTTATGAGCTTGCTTGGAGCGTGCTCGAGCTTCGAGGAGTGCTCCTGGGTGGACTCGGAGATTGTGAAGAACGGGTTTGAGAAAGACGCCGTGGTTGGAACTACGCTGCTCAACACTTACGGGAAGCACGGGAAAGTCGAAGAGGCTAGGAAAGTATTCGACAGGCTGGGATCGCGCGACACCATCTCCTGGAACGCCATGATCACGACTTACGTCCAAAACGGCTGTGCGGTGGCGGCCATGAAGATCTTCAGGGAGATGACCGGCGCCGCTGGCTTGAAGCCCGACGCCGTGACTTTCATCGCCGTGTTGGAGGCCTGCGCGAGCCTGGGCCGCCTCTCGGAAGTCAAGGCCCTCCACGCGCAGATATCCGAGAGCGAGCTGGAATCCAACGTGGTGGTGACGAACACGCTGATCAACATGTACGCGCGCTGCGGGAGCCTGGAGGAGGCCGAGCGGCTGTTCGCGGCGGCCAAGGAGAAGACGGTGGTGTCCTGGACGGCGATGGTGGCGGCCTTCTCCCAATATGGCCGCTACGCGGAGGCGCTGGACCTCTTCCAGGAGATGGACCTCGAGGGAGTGAAGCCGGACGACGTGACTTACACGAGCATCCTGTTTGTGTGCACGCACGGCGGCAGCCTGGAGCAGGGGTGGCGCTACTTCACGGACATGGCGGAGCTCCACGCCCTGGCTCCAACGGCGGACCACTTCGCGGCGATGGTGGACCTGCTGGGACGATCCGGGCGGCTCTTCGACGCAAAGGAGCTGCTGGAGAGCATGCCGTTTGAGCCGGACCCGGTGGCGTGGATGACGTTCCTGACGGCGTGCCGGATCCACGGGAAGCTGGAGCTGGGCGAAGCCGCGGCAGAGAGAGTCTACGAGCTGGATCCATCGAGCACTGCTCCTTACATCGCCATGTCCAACATCTACGCGGCTCACGGGATGTGGGAAAAGGTGGCGAGCGTGAGGAAGAAGATGGAGGAGAGGGGGCTCAAGAAGCTGCCGGGGCTGAGCTTCATCGAGGTGGACGGGAAGCTCCACGAGTTTAGCTCCGGCGGGAAGTACCATCCCAGGACGGACGAGATCTGCGAGGAGCTCACGCGGCTCCACGGGCTGATGCGCGCGGCGGGCTACGTCCCGGACACCAAGGCGGTGCTTCACGACGTGAGCGAGGGGGAGAAGGAGACGATGCTATTGTATCACAGCGAGAAGATGGCCATCGCGTTTGGGCTGGTGAGCTCGCGGGGGAGCGGCGAGCCCATCCGGGTGGTGAAGAACTTGCGGGTGTGCTCCGACTGCCACACCGCCACCAAGTTTATCGCCAGGATCGCGGGGCGGGATATCATCGTGCGGGATTGCAATCGATTCCACCGGTTTAGCAGCGATGGGAAGTGCTCGTGTGGGGATTACTGGTAGAGAGAGAGAGAGAGAGAGAGAGAGAGAGAGAGAGAGAGAGAGAGAGTTCTGCCCCGGTGGCGCGGGATCCCAGCAGCAGCGGCGCCGCCCGCCCCGCCGCCATGGTTTGGAAGATATAGTACTTAATGCTGGTCGTGCTCGTGTTGTGAATCTCCCGTGGTGGCGATCGTTACCACCACCACCACCAACAGTAACACAAGTGGTTCATCGTTTACAAAGGATTTTCTCTTTTTTTCTCAAAAACTTTGAATGAATTTACCATTGCTTGGACATGATTGAGCCTTTACATGGTCTACTTAGAGAAAAAGATAAAATGTTTTGCAAAAACTTTGAATGTATACATTCACAGTCTCCACAAGCATTGTTTACATTGTAGCTATTGATGGGGCTGCGTTGTTGATTTTAATCCAAGCTGGCCTCAAATTTCCACTCGCAGTCGTCATTGTCGGGAGCACTCGCCTGGCTGTGTCCTCGGCCTTCTCTTGGAAATATGGCATCTTCAAGGCGTCTTGCGCCGAGATCCTCCTCGCTGGATCAATCGCCAGCATCCTCTTGAGCAGCTCCACCGCATCGGGGTCTTTAATTCTGCTTCTCACGTCCTCGGCTTTCCACCGCGCCATCTTCTCCAAGATCCTCTCGCGTGCTCGCTCTCGGCACCAGTCTTGATAGCCCATGCCACAGCCATCGATGCCCAGCTTCTTGGCGAAATCAGCCACAAAATAGTCGAGCGAGTCCCAGTCCTCCTCGTCGGTCACGTCAAAGGGATTGCTACCCAGGAGCATCTCCGCGAATATACACCCGGCGCCCCACACGTCGATTGCGGTGCCAAAGCTGGTGGCACCCTTGAGAAGCTCCGGAGCGTTGAACGTTAGGGTGCCGACCTTGTTCGACCAGGGGCGTGTCCGCAGCCTCCTCGCGGCAGCGAAGTCCGCCAGCTTCACCACAAGCTTATTCTTCTCTCCATCCCTTTTGACGAGAACGTTGCTCGTCTTGACGTCTTGGTGAACGACTCTGTGCGCGTGAATCCACGCCAGGCCCTCGAGGATCTGGCGCATCACGGCCCTGATGTGGTGCTCCCCAAGCTTGCGCGACGAGATCACATCGCTCAAACTCCCGTCCATGAGCTCCATCACCATGAACGTACCCTGGTTGTTGCAGGTCAACCCAAGGAGATTGACAACGTTGTCGTGCGCTACCTCTTCCAGGATCTCCGACTCGTTGATGATGGCATCGTAAAGATACTCGTGCTCGTACATCTTCTTCATGGCTACTTTGTCTCCAGTCTCTCGGTGGAACCCAACCCTCACCTCTCCGTCGCCTCCAGCGCCTAGCAACCTCGCGTCACTCGCCCACACATAGTCTGCCATCGCTCGAAAAAATGAATGGTTAGGAAAACCTAAAGGATTTGTTTTGCAGAAAAAGGCACCTAGCTTCAAGAAAAAGATGGAGAAAAGGGAGTTTATTTTAATTACAAATGTAAAAAGAAAGGAAAAAAACTCTTTAAGTCTTGGACGCACACAGGCTGCGGGCAGCATATTCTCCTTGAGCTTCCTTGATCATGTCCAGTCCTACGTTGGGCGCGGTTGCAGAGGACCTGTCCGGGATCGTCAAGAGAGCACCACCACTACACACACACACACAAAAAAAAAGAAAAAAAGAAAGGATCAGAAAGCATAGAAAAAAAAAACGTGCCAAGCTTTTTTTGTTTACCAGAGTTTCCTGGGTTTTGGCTATTGAGGGCCGAGATGTAAAACGCACGCTTAGTCCCAACGTTGATCGTGAGATCGCCCGGGTGCAAAAGGTTGATGCGTGGTACTCCTGGAAAATCACAGCATCTCTCTCTCTCTCTCTCTCTCTCACACACACACACACACACACACACAGAGGGAGAGATTTTAAGCTTGGTGATAAAAAGTCGTAGAAAAAAATGGCCAAACAGCTTAAAAGGTGCAAAGAGAAGAAAATTGCCAAAAGGTTTTTAGAATTTGACCATTTTTTTCTCTCACACATTTTGTATACTTTTACCCATCTTACCTTTTTCTTTAATATAAAAAAGGTGGTGACAGAGTTTTAAAAAAAAACATTGGAGTTCTAGAGGTGTGTGTGAAGCTAAAAAAAGGTGGTGAAAATCGTGCAATGAGAAAAAAATCTGACTGGGGTAAAAATAATGTGGATTAAAAAAAGCTGGGTGTTTGGAGAGGGAGGGTTTTTTAGGGTTCTTGACGATGACGTGAGAGAGAGCGAGCGAACGGGCGATCGGCGATCGGCGCGGCGGCTGCGCGCGCGCGAGGCGAATCCATCCATGTCATCAGGGGCGGAATCCAGCGAGCAGCATCAGCTCAGCAGCAGCAGCAGCGGCGGGAGCGGGAGCGGGAGCGGCGACAAGGCAAGTAAGAAGAAGATGAGCAGCGGTGGCGCCATGGCGGCGGAAATGGGGATCCCCAGCGGCGCCCTGGAGCGCATCCTCGTCCGCCTGGACCGCGACGACGTAGCGCGCTCGTGCGCGGTGTGCCGCCGCTGGAACCGCGTCATCTGCTCGGAGGCGTTCCAGCGGGTCTACCGCAAGCAGCACGGCAAGCAGCCCATGACGTGGGAGTGGCTGGTGTCGATCAAGTCCGCCCAGCGCAAGAAAACTCCCGGAGGAGACGAAGAGCATGTTAATGCAGAGAAAGAAGATCATTGCCAGCAGCAGCCTCAAGACGATCGAAACGAGGTGGTGGTGGTGGCGGAAGAGGCGGACAAGGAGGAGGACGAGCGGCGGCGCTTCCAGCTGGTGGCATGGAACCTCCAGTTGCGGCGGAGCTTCACGCTGCTGGACATCGCGTGCTGCCCGGCGGCGCCGCGCAGCCACCCGGACCTCTGCTGGCTCGAGTTCGCGGCTACCTCCGGCGGCGGTGCTGGTGGTAGCGAGCTCCTTGCCTGGGCCTGCCGCCACACCCCGACCTCCATCCGGGTGGCCGACCCCCTCCACCCGAGCTCTGTCCGGATCATCCCCGCCCCGCCAGCTTTCCCGGACCCCGTCGTCTACGAGTTTCGCCTTGGCCTCGCCCGCGACAGCCACCATCTTGTTGTTCCAGGCCAACCAAGCTCGCAGCAAGCCCGGCTTCTTCCCAGCTCGCCAAGCTCGGAGAGTCGTGGAGGAGGAGGAGGAGGATTCAAGCTGGCGCTTCTCCGGCTCGGCTTCCCCCACGCCGACTCCGCCACCGCTCACGCCTGGGCCGTGGCCAACGTCTACCACTCCGCCACCCGCCAGTGGAGCTCCTTCAAAATCAAGCTCGACGGCGATCTCAAGCGCTGGGGCGCCTCGGTGGTGTGCAAAGGCCACCTCTACGTGCTCCTCCGCCCGCCCGGCCGCCACGGCCCCGGCGTCGGGCTCATCAGCCTCAACATGTCCGCCGCCGTGGATCCCTTCGGCTACCACGACGTCGTCCTCCCCGGCTTCGCTTACGAGTGGCACGACGTGATGGACCTGGTGGACCGCTCCGGCACGCTGCTGCTCGTCGTCTTTAGCTTTGCGAAGTCTTCCCTGTCCATCTTCCAGGCCGAGGACGCCGCCCCAAGTCGGATGTCCAGGACCGCCACCTCGCGCTGGCTGCCGCTCAGCACCATGCCGGGTGGCGCATGCGCGCAGTTTTGCAAGGAGCTGGAGACGCAGTGGAGCTACCGGTGCCGCGGCTCGAGCGAGTGCATCTTCTTCGCCAACACCCGCGGGGGCCCGGGATTCGTCTTCTGGATCACGCGCAAGTCGTGGCACCGGATGCACTTCCCGGACGTCGACAGCCGGTACCTCTTTGCTCTTTCGGTCTAACGATTCGTCGTGGTTTTTTTTTCTTTGGTTCTCTTTTGTTTCGGTCGTCTCGTTTTCCGGTTCTGCTTTCGTACCTTCCCAGTTTATATGGTTCTTGTGAATACTGTTCTCTTTTTTGTTGGTCTAGCTCCTCGAAGTGGTGGCCTCGAAAAGTTGTTTACATCTTTTCTCCCCCGAGTTTTGAGAGCTATGAACTGTAAGCAGCAGCAGGAACTTAGTTTTTACTCTTACGAAAAGAAGGAAGAGAGGCACCTGCTGAGAATGCTAGCCAGCTTGCGCAGAATCTATTGCTCCTCTGGCCTTCCTGTGATTCACAAAGCCGGGTTAATGCACAAAACGCTTCAACTAAATGAGAGAGTTATACCTGACTTGTCTCGATTGTGGAAAGAAAAATCCGCCTCACTGCTCGTACTGCTCGCGTGGTTTCACGTTCGTTGCGACGTGATTGCTCTTCCCCGAGCGTTAACGCTTCTCCCCCTCGCCGAAGTCCTCGTCTTGGACGGGAGTTTCTTGAGCAGCTCCTCCTGGGTGATCTTCATGTAGAAACCAGTCGTCATCCCGTGCTGCTTCACTACGTTCGAGAGGCAGTCGTGCTGGAGCTCATCCTTGTGCTTGTCTTTGAGCTGGATCTTCCCGTCTTTAAGGCTGAGGAACAAGGAAACTCTCTCCTTCTCCTTCTCGGACTTCGACGGAGCAATAGCAGTAGAAGCAGCCTGCTCTTGACATGCGATCGTCTCTTCCAAGCTACAGTTCCATGCCTGCCTGATAAGCTGTGCCTCCTCGCTCAAAGACGTCAGGAGCTCCTGGAGAAGGTCCTTGTTTCGATCTTCAAACAGAGCGCGGTATGGACTGAGAGACTTCGCCGAGTGCTTCACCTCCTCCCAGATGGTCTTCTGAGTTTCAGCAATGCTGCTAGCCGCGGCTCGCTCTTCTGCCGACGACTCCGGAGGAGGTTCTTCTCCTTCTTTCGAATCCTGCTCGTCACCCGAGGCTGAGTACTCCGACTGGCTGCAGCACGCTGCTTGATCCAATGAAGACATCCGACGTAGGAGTTCTCTGAAGAGGAGATACTTTGTAACTTCGGCTGTCAGATCGGAGGATGGGCTCCGCGTTCTCCTTCTCCTTCTTGGGAGAGTCCCAGCGAGATCTGACGTACTGGAACTGGATACGTTCGTGGGATCGTCTTGGTTGTGCTGGGAGCTCCACGTCGATGTCTCAGGAACAACACTTCCACTGCTACTGGTGCATGCACTTTCTTCCAGCACCAACGGAGCTTTTGAGAGATCCACCGGATCGGTGGTACTGCTACCACCTTGTACTCCGACGTCAACGTAGCTAGCACTAGCGTTGTCAAACTCTGTGCTGTCTTCCTGGAGCTTAGAATCCACACCGGTGCTGACAAAAACAAAATCGTCGTGCTGGAGTTGTGACTTTGAGTCGCTGCTGCTGTGATCGGCAGCCA